GCTACTCGCTTATCTGCGCCGCTTGTCTTATTAACTTATAATTAAAAGAGATAATATTTCTTATAGTTTTAATAATAACTTTTTTATCTTTCTTATATCTATTTTCTATTAGATTTCCTGGTATTCTAGAGCTTAGCTATACTATTATTGTCTTTAATAATCTTATAACCTAGTATAATTCTTAAATCTTTAATAAAATAATATTATATATCTTTAATATAATTAATTTCTTCTATACTAAGGTCCTAATTAATAGTGAATAACTATATTTAATATATTTACCTACCCTTAAAGAGATAATATCTTTAAAATAGTATTATATATAACTTAATAGTCTAGGTATATATGTTATATAAAGCCTATATATAACCTATATATAGCTATCAGTAGCTAGAATCTAACCAGTACTAGCTAGCAAGAATTAAGCTTCTATATCTTTAACTACCATTAGTTATATTACCTTCTTAGGTATAATAATATCTATAATGTTATAGCTAGTAGATAAAGGTATTATATCCTTAATCTATATTATACTAAAGAAAAAAACGCTCTTATTCTTTTCTTACTCCCTCTACGCCTGCTACTACCCTTACCACACCTAACTCTCTCTTTATCATTATAGCTTATGCTTACCTCAACTGTCTCCTCTACTAATATTCTCTCCGGATACTCCCCTATATCTTCCTCCACCAATTCGCCGTCCACTTCCTGACCGATATGCTCTCGCGCCATTACCTTTAGCTTCGCCTGCACCGTCGCATCCTGCTCGAGCTCCTGCCACAGCCCCACGTCCCACTCCTCCACGTTCTCACTCAGACTAGACTTCTTCCACGGCGGCCACTTCCACACACCACAGAGAATGAGGTGTCGCTTAATTACCTTCATCGTCATCTCTAAAAGCCATAACGTGCCGAGGACGGCAAACAGCGTCGCCCACCAGACGGCGTCCGGGCCCCATTTGTAGCGGAAGCTATGCTTGACATCGTACGGCCCGGAAGCGGTAGCGGCAAATATGCCGTCGAGGAACGAAATCCACGCGAACCAGCCAATCGTAGTGACAAAGAAAGAACCCATAACAATCGATGCTTTATAGTGCGTCTCAAAGATAAACAGCTTCCAATTGATCCACATAACACCCGTGGTAAATGTGAGTGTACCGAGCGCATATAGACCTTCATCCCTAGCGCGCGGGTGTATCCAGCCGTAGCCGGCCCATACGCCGTACCAAGTTATGACACCCTCGATGGCCGCGAGGAGCATCCAGCGGGCATACTTCCAAACATTCAGACCCATGTCGCGCTGGCCGTACACGTACAGCTCCGGGATCGCCAGCAACGTTTCCGCACGCAAGTCCTGCTCCCAAATGCCCATGCAAATCGTACAAAGACTAGTAAACAGCGTATTAAAGACTGTGAGGCTAGTAGCTTCATACAGTGAGGTACCCGTGTATCCGTTGTAGCGCTGGTAGATGGCCTGCGGGAGGTAAAAGAACATCTCCTTCCAAAATGTGCAGAGGATAAACTTAGTGGTACGGACATAGTTCCAGCGTCCGTGAACGAGGAGTAGACGCTGTAGAAACCGAAACTGGGCGATGGAGTAGTCGGCGACACGGGCAGCCTGCAGGCCTTCGCGACCCGATATGCCAATACCAACATGGCTAGCTTGGATCATGGCAAGATCATTGGCGCCATCACCAATGGCCAGGGTCAAGCCGTGGCGGCGGGTCAGGTTGAACTTGCTGATACGGTCCCGAACTGTGCGCACGAGCAGGGACTTTTGCGCGGGCGACGCGCGGCAGCAGATGACAGTGTCTACTTTGAGCATAATGTCATAGAACCGCTTAGACAGCTCTGCGGAATTTTCAATAACGCTTAGTGTATGTCCATCGATGACGACGATCCTGTCAAAAGGCCCTATCTGGAGATCTTCGATGAGAGCAATAAGCTGGAATTCAAGGGCGCCCTTTGCAATATCCAAAATATAGATATCCGAACCGGGCCGGACAAGGCGTGCCGAGTGGGCGATGTTGATGGCAGTCTCTCGCTTATCGCCAGTAAGCATCCATATCCTGATATTGGCTCGTCGCAGCTTCTCAATAGTCTCGGGGACGCCTTTTTGCAGCTTGTCTTCGATGGCACTGGCTCCAATCAGGGAGAATGCCTGCTCAAGCAAGTCGCCAGCGGATTCTAACATTTCCTGTCGATTTACAAGGCTCGTGGTCGCGTCGTCATATATCCTTTTCCATGCGCGGTAGTCTTGCTCGGAAATGTCTTTTTGCGCAAAGAGTAGAGTTCGAAGCCCTTCAGTGGCAAAGTCTTCGATATGTTTAAAGCATTTGGAAAACGCTTCGAATTCGTCATGGATGATTGGGTCGTCGAGGAATTGCAGATTATGTGGAAGCTGGACGTGGTGTGTGTTGACGCTCGTACGGACGTGTGCGCGGTTAATGTCCATCGACATACCTCGCGTACAGGCGCTCGCTCGCACACCGTCTTCAGAACTTCTGACAAGTTTCCTTAGCTCGAAAGACTTACTGCGATAGATTACTGAGCGTGGCATACTCTGTTGCGGTCTGTGAATGTTGGAATTATATCGAACAGTTAAGCTGGGCCGCCCTCCAAAACTGTTTCTCGGCTGATGCTGCTCACTACGGCGCTGCATTTCATGCTCGATATCAGCGCTGGCGCGGGCTTCGGTAGCTTTTTGCATGGCGAGAGACGACTGCTTCAGACGTGGGATGATGACGGAATCTGCTCCCTTGCAAATGACAGTGATGCGGCCGTCGGGGCGGCGAAGGACAATGGACATTCGTTTTCGATTGCTGCTGAACTCGACAGTGTCGAGAATATCATATGTCTGTCTGTCGAGCTGACCGTTGGCCTGGGTCATTTCCACAGTGACCTTTTTCGCTGTACGCTGAGCGACCAGGTAGCCCATTTCCTGGGCTGCGCGGACGAGCGCCAGTTCGTCGGGAGAAGATGCCTGAAACTCGATATTACCGTTGGTATATTCAGGGAGACAAGTATGGCAAAGCGCCATGGCGAGTATGTATTCCTTGGCTTTTCTGGCAAAAGCAGAGTGAGGTCGAAGCTGTATGTAGTGCAGCAGATCGGCCGTGTTGACTTCTGGCTGGATATGATCGGGTCGTCCAGTAGAGCGCCAGTGAGAGGACGAGCGCCGGCGACTTATGGAGGGTCGGGCTCCTATGGACATGCGTGGGTACAGAGGGCTGCTCATATGACTCAAAGGCGAGGTAGGGACCGGGTCGGGCTTGTACAGCGAAGGCTCTCTACTTGAATCGCCAAGGCTGGTTGCTGTGTTTTCGCCATCGTCAACCAGGTCCATTTCGTGTAGCCAGACGGTTCCCGCGACACTAATTTTGCGAAACTTCATAATATTGTCCGTGAGAGTTCCAGTCTTGTCGGAGAATATGTAACCGACTTGGCCGAGGTTTTCCAGAATCGTGTTGGTGTTGCATCTGGCGGGCGTGTTGGTCTCCTCATCATACATGCCGATATCGGAATTGAGCAGCAACAGCTGTCCAATCTTGACAATTTCTAGTGAGATATACAAAGCGAGGGGGACAACATTATTGAACATGATTATGAATGCAATTATAATCTGGTACAAGGGGATGGTGGCGTTGTTGAGATACTGAGCCTGCCTTTCGTAGCTGCGCTGCCAATGGACGTAGCCCATACAGACACCGACAGATAGAACAACGACGTAGGTGGCGAGAGTCACGACAACGCAGTTGACAATTTTTTCTAGTGCAGGCTTCTTTGCCGACGGGTGCTGGTTCGAATTCATGCGAATCTTGCATTCTTCTCCGGTGTTGATGACAATGCCAACGATGGCAGCCGTATTCCGCACGACGCTGCCTCGGTATATGACCTCATTCAAGGAAAGGGGCACAGACTTTCCGTCGGCGGAGACCGAACCCTCGAAGTTGAAGAGTTGCGGGTTCGGGTCCTCGACAAAGAAGTTGGCCTTGCAGTTGGCAATGCCCTCAATGGTGCCGCAACCGCCGAGAGCAGAGGACAGCTGCTTGCTCTTGAGGTTGGTTTCACCGTCGAGAGCCATAGTGTCAATGTAGGCCAAGTCGTTCTCATCACTGGTCCAGAGGAGCACGATATCGGCAGGTACAGCGTCGTCACGATTCAGCCTCACGACGTCTCCAACTTTGACATTGCTCCAACGGATGGGGACCCATCGGACACCGTCGTACTCGTCTTCTGGCAACGCAGGTGGCTGCGCATCGGTTGTGACATGGAATGGGTTCCATCTTTGAACCCACGTCGGGGGCTTGACTTTGCCGGTATAATGATCTTCGCGCCCGAGGGTCGTGGTGAAGCTGGCGTTTTCGATCCGATCGAGGCGGCTTCTCCTATAGTCGTCGTAGCCCTCCTTGACGATAGTGAGCAGTACAAAGAACAGCAATGGCAGGATGGTAGTGAATGTTCCGGTGGTGGACAGATTCGGAATCTGATTGATGTTTAGCGCCACTCAACAGCCGCTTACCCGAGCACAGCCAGAGCATAGCACTGGAAGTACTTACCATTTGAGGAATGCCGACGCAGAGAAAGTAAAAGTTTCCAACGCGGGAGAATTGAAAAAACAGCTGCTTGGGGATGAAGTCAAAGACGGTGTAGCGCGATGTGCGAATGTCGTTGGAAATGTACGAGAAGCCATGGCGGGTGTCGACAAGCGGCTCAGCGTGCTTGATGCTTAACGGGACACGTCGACCACCGTCCGAAGGTGCGAGGCTCTTACGCCGCAGCAGCGGCTTAACGATTGACTTTCTATATGCAGACTTGACGAGATGTTGGACTTTAGAGAAGAACAAAACAGACGCTCTCGTATGCGGTACAGCAGCGTTATCTGGCAGAGAGTCTGTTTCGAGGGTTGAGTTTTTAACGGCCATTGCGACGGGTAAATTGCGCCGACTATGCGCCGCAACCAGGATAGAATCGATTAACAATGCATAAATATCATGCCAATGGTGTGTAGGGCGGTTTCTTTCGCCGCAGTCGAGGTTGTGTGAAGTTGCAATTGGCAATTAGGTAAGTGGCCCGCAACTTGCGCTGCGGCTGTTGATTGTTGTGAAGCAGCCGCGTCGGTCAGCGAGCACGCAAACCCACGTGGAGTCGCAGGCGATATGGTTTTATGAAAGAGGTGGAAAGAATGAAAGTTAGCGCGGAACAATTAGTGACAAGAACCAATAATGTACAACATTCGAGAAAGTAGATGCTGAGAAAGGGCAGTAAGGAAACGTTAGAGTCGGATATGTTAAGTCGAAGGGCAGATACGTGGCCTGGCAGTACATAGGTAGCTTGAACTTACTCGACACTCGAGTACGCTAGGGCACTTGGGGCTATTATGAAAGTGGCAACAATCTAAGTAAATCCGTAATTACGGAGTACGGATCATCTGGCCCCATTTGTTCCAAGTATCCTAGTGATCGGTGGCTGAGCTTGACGGCAGGTCCACAAGTCAAAAGCTGCGGTAAAAAAGTGCAGAGATAGGTACGGATTATACACAATACCAGCTTGACTTGCAGTGACTGTTGGCAGAAGTCTTAGTTCTATGGTCGCAACAATCTGCAGATTCGTAATGGACGTCACGCTGTATTATGAAAGGGGCGGGATTAGAAATGACCAATTATCAGTGGTGCAGATCAATAAAGATGCGTCTTCTCGCCCGTCGGGGAAGATTGTTTTGTTTTCTTGCGACTTACGGATTACATTCCATCAAATCGATCAGGCTTACCAGCCAGCAATACGCACAATTACTCAGCCAGTAATCCCTGACAATAATCAGTCTTGACGCCACTCGTCCCAACTGCAAAGGGGCCAAAATTCGTGCCACAAAAGTTCTCCGGAATGACAAAAGAAAGGATGACTTTGGCACTTTCATCAAGTTCTTTTGTTCTCATAACCCCTGCCCAAGGCTCGACGCACATGTGGGGTCGCTGCAAGCCTCCTGCGGCTACCTAGACCGCGTTAATAAGGGTTTATAATATAGGCTTGCATAGGCGACATAGAGATTCCTATCTTATTTAGTTTGATAAGGCTTGAAATCTATTGAGGGAGTGTAGCTAATATACACGAGGTGTCTCCCTCATTTAGCTCCGAGCCACAGTCGAGCCCCCTCGAAAACAACCAATTATGCCATCATTCCTCCTTCTACTGCACTATAATAATAGCTCCTAACTACTCCGCAGGTAGTCATACTACGTACGTACCTATGCTGCGCCTTCTTCTATTAGCTTCGATTTGGTATCTAACAAATGATGGATGCCACGTTAAAGTTAATACACCCCGTATACTTGAGAACATTCGTTTGTGTCACACAACATCGACGACATGTTAAAGCAAGCAAAGTAACCGGGCATCCTAGAAATACCCTAGCATGTCGAAAGGTCGCATGTGATATGCTGTACCACCAACTCTAGTGAAATGATGCGCTTACATGTGAAAATCGCCATCATTTCTACACGCGCCACCTTATTTTCATCCGTTTCATTTTCTGTCTAAGGCTGTCTTCTCATTAACTTTAATTTGAGCTCCTCATCGTCTTGTTATTCCACATATTTTGGCATATTTAGCCACGTGTACTGAGCAGGAACTCTACTCAACTTCACTTCAAGGTCCTAACAGACCTATATAATAAGTGCCTGGCCAATTCAGCTAATCAATCTAAAGCGAGGCCGCGACGAATCGTACGAGAATAAGCAAGCCAAAAAAGTACACGAAGATGATGATAATACTAACAATACTTTATGCCCGCCTTTACCGGGCAATGAATAAAAATGTCATAGATATTGTCATGCTAGAGCCCAAAAACATAAATAAAATGAACCCACTCGAGAGAGCAACTGATTTTTTGTCGTTTGTTTGTGGCAAAGGATAGAAAAACTGCCAGCCAGAAACATCACACCGAGCAGAGCCGGCCAGTTGCGGTGCACCTGCGTTCTATCCAAGTGAACACGGCCCGTCAACTCGTCAGTCAACTAGACCTGCACCTGCGGGATATTGTCCATGTTGCCACCGTCATCAAGCCATTCCTTCTTAATCAGACGTTCGCGCGCCGCAAACAGGTGCTTATACGCCGTCTTGACCGTGCCGTCGCTGACGCCAGCCTGCTTGGCAATGGGCAGCGACGCACGCGGCTCCCCGACCAGGTGGCACGCCATGTAGATGCACGCAGCCGCCACCGAGAGCGGCGACCGACCAGCCAGCGCCGAAATGTCATTGGCCTGCTCCGCAAGATCCCGCGAAATCTTGGAAATTTTTTGCTGGCTCTTGAAGCCAAGCTGCGAGACGTAGCGGCTGCAGAGGTCTTCTGCACCAACCGACGTGTTTTCGTAGTTGGTCACGGTGTTGAGGCCAGTGGCACCCTCGCCCTCTGTGTCCTGAAGCTTTTGCAAAAAGTTTTGCAACTGCTTAAAGACCCTACCAACTTCCTTCTTGCTCACGCTCGTCAGATTGAAGATTTCTCTGAAAGTGCGCGGAACATTGTTCTGACGACAGGCGATGAAGATACAGCCTGCAATCACAGCCTCCTGCGGCTTGCCCTTCATGAACTTGTACTTGTCCACCAGCTTGAAGATGTGCTTGGCGGCATTAGATACATTCTGACCCATATTAATAGCCTCGCACAGCGACACAATTTCCTTGTATGCTTGCATTAGGCCCTTCTGCTGCTTGTCCTGATTGGTATTGTTCTGCACACGCAATAGATTCTTGTGCTGGCGAGATTCGGAAAAAGCAACCGACGTGGCGAGCTGCTGTCCCTCGACAAACTCGTCCTGAGGGCCACCCACACGGCTGGGATCATCGCCGTTCTGGTCATCGTTGGCAAATGTACGCCATTCAGATCGCGTGTCGATGATGCGCGTGCCTACCACGACACCACAGCTCTGACACACCATGTCTCCGCTCGAGAATTCCTCTACCAGGTTTGGAGGAATTTCCCGACAATCGGGACAGCAGAGAACATTATTGAGATCCTCTTGGAATCCGGCGCCTGAGCCGTCGCTGGCGGCAGGCGAAAGCATTTTGGGCTTGTACGAGTGAGGTGTATACAGATTCGTGGTCTTACTAAAGACTTTGCGCGATCGCTTCGTCTCCCTTCGCCGCAGTCGAACCTGCTGTTGCTTTCGCTGGATCGCCTTTGAAAGTGTCGTCTGCTGCTTGCTGAACGATGTGTAAAGCTCGAGTCGATTGTGAAAGAGTGTGATAAGAAGCGGTGAATGCAGCTTGGCGGCTGAAGGTGTTAACGGCGAATGCCGATGCAGTGTCGAGGGCGTGGGAGTAAATATCTCGACGGCGAGGGGGTTAAAGAGTGGTTTATTCACGCTAAAAACAAAGTCGAGGCGTTGCGCCGCGATTTGAGCACCGCGGTTGAAAACGATTAATTCTTTTCTTGTTTCTCGTCGGAAACGGGAAAGAACGCTACGTATGGAACAAGCTTTCGCTTTCGAATTGAATTTAGTTTGCGATGAGCGATGCTCGGTTTTTGTTTCTAGCAAAGGTAGGGTGGTGCGAAACCCAAATGAAGCGAGTGTGTGGCGTCGCACTCTGCCAAACCGACAGTTCTGACCAGTGAAGGCGTCTGAGTGGTTCAGATCAACGAAGAGTCGGCTCGAAGTAGTCGTCACGTCGGCGCTCGATGCAGAGAACGTGATCGAACCACACGGAGATGGTTGTTGCGATGAATGACCGGCTTCGAGGCGGCGAGAGGACTGTTTATGGGTGGTGTTTTGAGGAAGAAAAAAGCACCTGAAAATGCGGACGTGAGGGGCAAAAAGTATGTGTAGCCTGTGTGACGGCCAGCGCTAGAAAGATCTACGGTGGATGAATAAGCAGCGCTGGTAGGTTACGAATACGGCACTTGCAATATTATGGCGGGTGTACGTGCTAGCAGCTACCTCCTGCATCGCATAAATCATACGCAGACCAATGTCGTTCTCTATCAGTTTGGACTCAGGCTCCCCCACAAATAGTGGCCTAATACAACCACTAAGCTGACTCATAAGAGGTCTTATCGAAACGAGGTCTACACATCCACTGTTAGCATGTCTCTTCTGAAAACCATCTTTCTAAAATCCCGGTCTTCATTTCATACATACACAACCGAAATGCCTTTACAAAAAGCTGCGGCCTCGGAGGACCTGCCTCCGGTCGACATCAAGCCGCTTCTGGCCAAGATGTGGCCCAACGATGATCGAGTGACGGCAGATGAGATTGCGGATGCCGTTTCGCACCTTTTCACAAACCAAGTCACCCCGGCGCAGACCGCCTCACTGCTCATAGCCCTGCACTTTACTCAGATGGACTTCCAGCCCGAGGTTCTAGCCAAGTGCGCCGCCGCTATGCTAAGAGCCGCGGCGCCTATTCCGGTAGAAGAGCTCAACGCTGTCATTTCCAAGCGCGGGCACAAGGAGGGCAAATACGAAGGTGGACTTGTAAGTGAGGTGCAACTTCCAGATGCTGACTGTAGCTTGTTAACACGCTGACGTAGTGCGACATTGTCGGCACTGGAGGTGACTCTCACAACACATTCAACATTAGCACAACCGCATCTATAATAGGCTCGGCATTGATCCTCGTCTCCAAGCACGGCAACAAGGCCAGCACATCAAAATCTGGCAGCGCCGATTTGATTGCTAATATGCGGCCCCGCGCACCTGTTGTCGCGGCCGTTACGCCGGAGAACCTAGCTAAGGTCTACGCGAACACAAACTACAGCTTTCTCTTCGCGCCTCTATTCCACACCGGCATGCGATACGTCGCGCCTATTCGCAAGGAGCTTCCCTGGAGAACCATCTTCAACAACGTGGGCCCGCTCGCCAACCCCGTCGAAGATGTGCTCGAGTGCCGCGTCATTGGCGTCGGCCGCAAGGATCTGGGCCCTGCATTTGCCGAGGCGCTGCGCTCCGTCGGGTGTCGCAAGGCCATGATTGTCTGCGGTGACGAGGACCTCGATGAGCTGAGCTGCGCCGGCAAGTCGCACTGCTGGATGCTCAAGGAGAAGACACCGGGCGGCGATATCTACGTTGACTACTTTACCGTTAAGCCCAGCGACTTTGGCGTCTCGTCGCATGCTCTCACTGAAGTGTCCTCCGGGATGGAGCCAGAAGAAAACGCCATGATCTTGGAGCGTATTCTCCATGGGAAGATGCCTGACAACGACCCTCTCATCGAGTTTGTCCTTATCAATGCCGCAGCCTTGTTTGTGGTCTCGGGTATCTGCGAGGCTGATTTAAGCAGCATGGGCGTAGGCGATGATGGAGAGGTGATTACGGAACGCGGTCCTGGTGGTCAGCGTTGGAAAGAAGGTGTACGCCGCGCAAAGTGGGCGATTCACAGTGGCGAGGCCTGGAAGCAGTGGTCGGCGTTTGTCAATATTACGAATGAGCTGGGCGCATAGATGCGACCAAACATGTTGCATAATTGCTTGATTCATGGAAACTCTTTTAATTGCTAATCTTATAAATACAGAACGAAGAAGGAAATTCGCTTTCAACACCTGATCATTTATCATTTGTTAAAACCTCCCCGCTGTTTCTGTTATTCGTATAGTGTCGAATTTGTCGTTTATATCATGTCTTTCGACGGTAATTAATCGAAGGCTCGATTCTCACATTCTCCCTATGGGTAATAACAACCTCTGCGCAGTGGCGAGTAGCTGCGTTGCCATCTGCAGTAGGATGCGGGTATTGGTGGCGTGCTCTGACTTCAAGACTGTGTATTTAAGTCGCGCACGCGGCTACTGTTGGGCGCTTTACCAGTCTCGTTTACCATGAACAGAGTTTGCTAATCTTGTTGGTTGATTTTGCTTATCTGCTCGAGCCACGCCAGGTGGTGGGCTTCGATGGGACGCCCTCGAGGACGGATTGCTGCTCGGCCTTTTTAAGTCGATAGCAGCGTATAACGTAGAAAATGCAGGCAATGAGACAGGACATGCATAAATATCGATAGAGGGGTCGCAAGAAACCAAATCTTCTTTTCGTTCTTAGGAAGCTGTTCATGCTTATGGGAAGTGGGGAGAGTCCTGACAGTAGGCGCCATTATATCATAATAACAGAGATGAAGATAGCAATGGAACTGTAACGCATGAGAATAATTACAAAAGGTATATGAGAAGCATTCTAACGCTTAGAGACGTAAGGTTGCTATTTAGACTGAGTTTATATATACTTCTGTTACTATATAAGTCAGACTTGTAACTTACAATGCTAGTGACAGGACGAAGCTAAGCCCGTAGGCCCTATAATCGATAGGTGATATGTAAACAAGGCTTTCAGGTATTAACACGGCGTCTCGCGCATCCCGAAGCTTTTTGCTTCTATATTTTATTATTCCCGTTGTTGATTAGACAGCCGGTGCCAGCCTTGTTGCGCGTCTCGGTGTTGGGCTGCATGCAAGTGTGGTCATGGACCATAGGCCACGACATCACATGAATCCGTGCCGCGTAGCAGCCAAGAGCAGACGGCGGTAATTAATCTATATGACTACCGGAATGGTTTGCCGATTGGATCGCAATGCAATCAATGACGCTAAGCATACTGATATTCGGCGGGTTTGTTGATATTTACCCGTCTACCTACTGATACTACTCCGTTCTCCGATACTCCGAGAGTGATGCACTTAGCCTACCTAGGCTAGCTACTGGACGGATAGCACTACCTGTACCGACCCACTCCGTACAGGGCAGGCTAAACGTACCTGAGTACTCCGTACCTAGCATGATTAGTGGTCAAATCTGTCGGTTGACAAAGGCAAGGCAGCTCGGTGGGAACGCCGATAACCAGACAACCCGGAGCAGCCAGATCCAGGGATTCTTATAGCGTGCTGTCTACTATAAGTTACCGCAAGTGACCGCAAGTGACTGCAAGCCCGCTGCAAAAGCCCAACCCAGCCATTTAATTTAGCGGGCTAGCTCTTCCGATGGCTGGCACCGCTTTGCCCGCCGGTAACGACCCGCTACTTGAAGCTGGCCGACGCCGCGGCTGGCCGCAGTAGACTCTCCTCTACACAACCAGTCCTTGTACCAGTCTCTTTGGTCACAAAATTGTGGCAGTGAACCAAGCGTGCAGCGGCATTTGACCTTTTTTTTTTTTCTTCCCCAAACGTTTGTTTGGTATTTGATGAGTCGCCTGGGTAGAAAACAGTTAGCAAGCATGGCCTGCACGCGAAGAATGGCCGTGGCTGCCTTCAATGGCTGCCGGTCATCTACGTACCAGCCATTCGCACCGAGCACGCGACGCTGGAGCTCGGCGTCTGGCGTCAGCACGCCGCTGCCTCTGGAAGGATACCGTGTGCTAGACATGACGCGAGTCCTTGCCGGTGTAAGAAAAATGTTTCTCATAGCCTATTCGGTGTTTATCAGAGACTGACAATGTCGTAGCCTTATTGTACACAGATTCTAGGTGATCTTGGGTACGTCGCACATGCGTAAGGCTCGGCTTCATCTTACTAATTCTTGATTCAGCGCTGAAATCATCAAGATTGAGCATCCTGTGCGCGGCGACGACACAAGAGCTTGGGGCCCTCCATATGCCAGGTACACCAAAGAGTCTGGCAGACAGGGTCCTGGCGAGGCAGCTTACTTCCTCGGAGTATGTCACACCGCGACCCTCACTTGACCAGCTATCACAGCAACACACTTACACCCAGCAGGCGAATCGCAACAAAAAATCCATCGGCATCTCTTTCCAACACAAGGGTGGTGTCGATATCCTGCACAAACTCGTCGAAAAGTGCGATATCCTGGTAGAAAATTACCTGCCTGGCACACTCAAGAAGTATGGCATGGACTATGAGACACTTGGTAAAATCAATCCTGGCCTAATTTATACCTCAATCACCGGCTATGGCCAAACCGGTCCCTACTCTAGCCGCGCCGGATACGATGTCATGGTTGAGGCTGAATTTGGTCTCATGCACATCACCGGCGCTCGCGACGGCCCTCCCGTTAAGGTTGGCGTCGCCGTTACTGACTTAACCACTGGCCTCTATGCCAGCAACAGCATCATGGCAGCTTTGTTAGGAAGAGGCAGGAGTGGTAAGGGCCAACACCTTGATGTCGCTTTGAGCGACTGTCAGACGGCTACTCTCGCAAACATTGCCAGCAGCTGCCTCATCAGCGGCAAGAGAGATGCTGGCCGATGGGGAACCGCACATCGTATGTCAACAGTAAACGCACCGAAAGCATCACCGACTAATATTACCAGCCTCCATCGTTCCCTACAAGTCATTCAAGACCAAGGACGGCGACATACTCTTCGGCGGCGGCAACGACCGCCTCTTCGGCATCCTCGCCGAGGGTCTCGGCAAGCCCCAGTGGAAGGACGACGTCAAGTACAAGACTAACGCCGATCGCGTCGCCAACCGGGTCGAGCTTGAGCACAAGATTGAGGCCCTCTCCCAGCAAAAGACGACCAAGGAGTGGCTCGCCGTCTTCGAGGGCAAGGGCATGCCCTACGCCGCCGTCAACGACGTCCAGGACACGCTAAATCTTGAGCACACAAGGGCCCGAAACATGGTTGTTGAGGTCGAGCACGGCGGCTGCGGCCCAATTAAGCTAGTCAATTCCCCCGTCAAGTTTTCCGAGACGCAGCCGGGTGTGCGCACGCCGCCGCCTATGCTGGGCCAACACACCAACGAACTCTTGTCCGAGCACCTCGGCTTGAGCGAAGACGATATTACTGCGCTAAAACAGCAGGGTATTGTCGGTTAATCAAGTCCCCTTAGTATAGAATCTGCAATATATATTTTTCATTTTCAAGAACATTGGTGCAAGTTGTTCGGAAACGATCACGTGATTACTTGCCTGCTCTGAGCTTTGTGGATGCGAGAAGACAATGAAGTTCCCATTTTAGTTACAGAGCGGTCGAATTGTTTATTATACTGCGGAATAACGTTCCTTTCCGTTTTCTTTAGAGATCTAGAGATTCGGTATCGGGTTTTGCGATACGCACCGTCACTCAAGTCAGCGTATACTTGGCGGCTGCGTATCTCAATCACGACGTGCGGCCCTGCTCCGATTCAACATTACACGACCGAAATCTCACTACTGCGGCATAAAAGATGGGAAACGCAGGCGAAGAAACTAGCAGTCTTGCGTCTGCCGTGAATGACGCGATGGAGGTCGACACCGCGCACACGTCAACAGAGCGCAATTCGTTTCTGGTTCATCCCTTTACAACAGAGCCTGGTGCACAGAATCAGTGCACATTGCCGCCACACTATCGCCTACCTCAATTCAGTACAGCGTCGTCCATTATATTGAGCCGCATCAAGGGCAATGACGTCGCGCCGCGGGATAGTGGCGAGGGTGGCCAGTCAGACACGAACAAAATACACGATGCCTCACACGATGAGTTCACGCTGCTGCTGCCGGAATCTTCGTACATCTCTTCAGCGCCACCAGTGGAGTACGTATATGCCAACGACGACAGCTTCGAAACGGCGAGTGTCGACTTTAACCAACAGTCTATACCATTTCGGCCACCCTATGAGCCAATTGAGGAAGTTGACGCTGCCGCGGATGCTCCAGCAGCGCCTAATCGGGAAGAGACCATCGAGGCGCAAAGACAAGCATGGCTACGTACGCTTCCCGAAGGCGTGCGGCCGGTTAAGCCGGAGTTGGTCGGATTCTCTGCCGGCCCCGAAGCACCAGCGTCAGCACTGACGAGCTATTTTTACAACAAACCCAAGACCGACCTCCTCAGCATTCTTTCCTTCTGCGACCAGCTCGAACCCCAGCTACTTGTCGACCTATTAGTGTCTATTTCGAAGCGGCACCCAAAGCTCCCGCTCTTTGACGCCCCTGACTGGCAAGAAAAGGTGCTCGCGCAAGAGGCCGCCCGGGCGGCCGCGGCGCAGATGAGGGCTAGGGCGCACCAGCGACCGCGACACGGGCACACGCTGCTGAACCCGCGGATGAGACAGAAGCGCAAGCGTGTGAGAAAGGTGCTCGAAATTAGCGCCACTGCGACGGAGGCGGCGGCGGCGGCGGGGAAGATGGTGGTGTTGCAGGAGGTCGAGAGTGAAGATGAGGAACTGCTGCCACCAACGTGGCCAAGGGCGGGAGAGGGCTTGTATGCTGCGCTGCCACCAGAGGACCAGGACACACTGTATCTGGCCGATGAGGGTGACGATGAGGCGTTTAGTCATTTCATAGTAGATGGACTAGGTAACCTGACGGCACTTGCCGCTTGTGGATGATGTATCTGTACTTTGTATTGATTAATGATACCCATTAGATTTTATTAGCCTGTTAATTCTTCTTTGTTCTTCGAGAACCGGCGCCCAATTTGATATACGCCATAATTGCAGAGTGTGTGACACAAGTAATAGACATACAAAGCTCAATTACATTCCTGGCGAAAATAATTAAATTATTCGAAACGAAACGAAGCGACGCTGTAGTAACAAGAGCAAAGATTCCCCTCTTTAGGAGAATGCAACATAAGAAGTAATATGAACCCTCATCGCCGCTGCATGTCAACTAAGGATCAAAACCCACTTCGTGAACCCAGCAGCATCTATTTGCAGTGGCAGTCAAAGGTGGCCATGAGCGTCTTCATGACATTGCCGACAACACACAGCAGGTGCTCCACAGCAACGGAAACGAGCACCCTGGCCTGGTTCACGACGAGGATGACTGAAGGCAGTATGCAGACGCCGTTTATCAGGCCCGTTATCTGGGCACCGACCGGCGCGCCAATATCAATGTGGTTGGCGCAGCCTTTTCCGCTAAACGAGACGCAGTCGCGCTGGCACGAGCCGAGGCCAAGCTTGCAGAGCACGAGCTGCGTCTTGGTGATGAAGCCAGCCTCCATGTTCGCGTCGAGCACCTGCAGCCCGTACGCCCTGCTGTTGAAGAGGGCGACGGCGTCCTCGACCTTTTCCAGGTATAGTCCGTGCAGGCCCGCCGACACGGCCTTGAGCTCGGCGGAGACGTTGCCGGCGACGTCAATGGCGGCCGAGGAGCCGAGCTTGTCCAGCTCGTTGCCAATCTTGGCCTCGGCGACAAAAGCAATTGTGTCGAGGCCGGCCTGGCAGAATTCGTGGGCGGCGTCGTACCGGCACATCTTGACGGGGCTGGCGGCGCAAAACGCGGCGAGTTTGACGTGCACGCTCGCAAAGAGTTGGAGCGCCGGCGCGGGCCACGCGTTGAGGAGGCGCGCGCCACCGGTGCAGGACCCGGTGGTGGCCGAGTAGAAGAGGCCCGGCGCGCAGCTGCAGGCCTGGGTCCAGGGGGAGTAGGCCATGGTGGCGGGGCAGGAGAAGCCCTCGACGGCGGCGGCGATGGCGGCCTCGACGGCGGCATCGACGCGCAGACCAGCATCGGTGGTGACGTTGTGGTTGCCGCCGGCGGAGAGGCCGAGTCCGGCACCGGCATGGATGCTGGGGTTGACGGCTGCACCGCCGCGGTACTTGGCGCTGATGTTGGCGACTTGGGCGTCGACGTCGGCGCTGACCTGGGCGTCAATGGTCTTGCCGGCACCGAGCTTGGCGCCGACACCAACACCAGCGCCAACCTTGAAACCGGCAGCAGCGCCGGCATCGACCTTGGTATTTACATCAACACCGGCAGCAGCGCCTGCACCAGCCTTGGCGCCGGCAGCAACATCAGCAGCAACCTGTGCGTCGACATTGGCGCCGGCAGCAACATCGGCATCGACCTTGGCATCAACACCGGCACCGGCACCGGCACCGGCATCGGCACTAACCTGGGCATTCACATCCGCGCCGACTTTGGCGCCGACCGCAGCACCTGCAGCGACCTGGGCATTAGCATCAACCCCGACCTTGGCATCGACGGCGGTGGCCGAGACGGCAGCCGCCAGGCCGAGCACAGCGAGAGAATAACGCATTGCGAATGATTGCGTATGTGCGTGAACGGGAGTATATTCGAAGCGAAGAAAGGGAACCTGGATGAAAAGAGAGGACTGATCTACACAAAAGAATTTGTCTGATCCAATTGAAAGATTGGCTGGTCAAAGGAAGAGCGTACTGATGGGAAAAAAAGTTGCTTCTCCTTCTGGTGTGAGAAGCCGTCGGGGTTGACTTTATATATATATATTCTCACCGCGCGTTGATGCCGGCAGCTATGCCTGGCCCCTGGTCTGCAAGAGCCGGGTCTTGTTTCTTGTCTAGTGCCACTTACACCTTGCCGAGATGTGCTAAGATTACGCTGCCCGCGAACCCCGTGGACCTATTTGTCCTTGGTTGTTTTCATGTGCAAGAAGCTCATGCCAAGGGCTTCGAGAGGAGCCAGGGTGTGTTGATCTAGTCGTGAAATGACTGGGAGCTGGGGACCAGATGCCGGATTCCGTGCAGCCAGCCACGCGTGGCGCAACCAGGATAATGAGGAATTTGGGGGTCATCATACCAGGTCGACTTGAGGAATAGAACTAAGACCAACATAGCAAAATTCAGGCAGTAGGCCTGAATGATAGTAGTAGTTTGTCTTACAGAGAGTTGCTCGAGCATACAAGTCGGTTCGTCGCATGCAAGTTCTTGTTGTGTTTCCGAAAGCTTGCGCTGCTGGCTGTTTTTTGAGCGCCCAGCGAACCGAAAGCTGGCTCGACGATAGATTAGCTTGCTAATAAAACCTGTCATCGGTAGATTAACATCGGTGCCCAATGATATGTGGTCTCTGTCAGCCTTGCGTTCCTCACCGTCATTCTCCGGTGGTGCGCTCTCATCCAGCGCTGTAATATTTCATTTTTGGTGTTATGAGCAGGGTTTATCTTTGGTATCGTTCTCGTTGTTGGATTTCTCGCATCTTACCGGCATAAAGGGGGAAATGCAGTATCCTGAGCCGTGGCCAGGCCGCGGCCTGGTCATGGCCTCAACTTGCGCCGGGGTCATTTCTTGCTCTGGGGTATCGGCTAGAGGCGCGCTATCGATAAAGGGGTTTTGGGGGGCCAAATCGAGCGGCCGCTGCCGCAAGCTCTCATATGTCTGCCTCTTTTATCTGGCTTGCCATGGTGGCGGTGCTTTGAATGAAACTCTTCTCTGACGCGTCCCGATCCGCTTGATCCTGCATCCAAAGTTGCGGAAGCCCGAGATTGGAACTGTTCGAGGCGACGAATAGCTGATATTGCTTTTCCGTTACTCGTGAAACAGTTGGCCGGGGTCGTTGTGGGAAAAGGATGTACAACATGGGTTGTATCTGCGCTCGGTCCTAGAATTGAGAACTTGTCAGGCACCAATTCCTCTCTCACATCACGGCCATGCCCCTATTGTCACCCCTCAAACCCTTCTATCGCTTGAGACACTTGCTGCGCATCTCAACTCAGCTTCACCGTTACGCCAACAAGTTCGCAAGTAGCTCGGTATCAGAACTTCTTCTTTCCGGTATCTTCCGTCTCTGTCCTGTGGTACGTTTTTAGAGCAGCCATCGAACCTGAATATCCTCACAAGATTAGCAAATTTCCGTCTTCAGTTTATGGACAGTCGGGATGGTCACTTTTTTCACATTATTGCACACTGACTTTTCCCACGAGTTGACAAGCTACGAAAGAGTCATCACATACTAATTTAGCCATTACGACCAACATGAATGGTCGCTGGATTGGGAGTCGATCCCTTTGAGAATTATGGGACGGCCAGAACCACCTCGATGAACATTTTTCCGGTTTGCCTGGCCAATGGCTCGAATGTCTAGAGTCATGGCGCATGTCTCATCACACAGACAGTGGCCGCGGTTCGCCCTAGGCACATGTCTATCGGCTACTTCCGTGACTGGCGCAAGCCAAGAGAGAGAAGGCAAAGGCCGAGGCAAGACACTTGAAGAAGTCGCGGAAATTGTTTGTCTTGTGCATGGCGCATGTTTGAGGCCCGCATAAATTGATCTCCATGAACATTGGTATCGAAAGTTGAAGAGAAATCGTACTTTTTCAAGATTGAGTATGAGCAGTGTATTCTATTCTCTAGATGCAAAAATGAGGACGCCAAGTCCATAGTTCAACGGCATTCAGGTGATAAAAGGAAGAAAAAAAAAACATGGTTGACCGTCATCAAAAGACGCCACCAGTATGTTACGATAATCGAAAAAAGTTTCGATAGTAGCAGGACTCGAATCTGCGCGGGTGAAGCCATGAAATACTTTGAACCGGGGTGCGATCATCTCAATATGATGGATGATATTGCCATATCGCCAATTGTTGTGGCTGGAAGATTGCTGGTCTGGGCGGCTGAGGCTAGGGCAGGGCATCACTTAAACCTTGAAGTGTCAAAAGGGAGCAAGCAGGTTGCTTGTAGGAGTTCAACCAATCAGGACCCTGGCCAGAACAACAGTACCTCGCTTTGCTCATGTATCAGTAGCTTTGCAGGTGAAGTAGCAAAGTCGGTGTAAGCAGCAAGAACTGTTCAAATAAAGCATCGTGGCTGCGTGCTCACTCCATCATGATGTATTGCCAGACGGCCATCCTGGGAGGACTTTTCAAGCAGATCGCGGAAGAAGTGAGTCTCCATGTGGCTCCTCGCCCGACGATGCAGTGGGGCGTCTTGATAGGGACGGGGACCTGCGTACGGTGGCGGCAGCGAGATCAGTGACGCCGATGATGACGGCTTCGGCGACGAGGCACCCAAGAGAGGCGGCGGCGGTGATGCCCTTGACCACGGCGGCGACGCGCTCATCTGGATACCCTTTGTTAGACGATGACGATGACGACAACGACGACGACGACGACGACGACAGCATGTGACAGCAACAGCGGCAGACAGACGGAGCAGCAGCAGCAGGTATCGGAGCCGGCGCATACTGTGGCGATGGCTGCGACGGCGGCACTTGCTCATAAGCAGGCGGCGGCGGTCCGGCCACGGCGACAGAATATGGCGGTGCCGGGCTGGGAGGCGCAGAAGGCACGGCGTCGTGCTTTTTGTGCGGCGGAAGACTTGCAAAGGGCGAGACGACGCGCTCGGTGATTTCGCTGTGCACGCGCGCGGCGCGCTCGTAGTCCTCGGCGGCCCAGCGGCGCGCAATGAGGGCCGGCGCGTCGAGCACCCACTGCCGGACGTCGGTGGAGAGGGCGCAGAAGCCCGGGGCGCTGGCCGAGGCAAACTTGCACATTTCCGAGTGCGTGGCCTCGACGCCGTAGTAGGTGACGCCAGGGAGCTGCGGGCTGGCCGAGTTGGCGTCGACAATGACCATCCTACAAGGGGGGGGGGGGGGGGGGTATGCGTCAGCCATCATGTAACAATAGAAGTGAGCATGTTGGAGGCTACTTACTTTGTGCCCTTGACGTCCGTCTTGTGGTTCTCGTGCGCCATGTGGATGCGGAAGCGCTGGTAAATGTCGAGAAAGTGGTTGTTAATGTTGGCGAGCGTCTCATTGTCCTTTTTCAGCGTCTTGAGCAGGACCGACTCGGACTCAAACAGCTTGCGCGGCAGCACGGCGTCGGACATGGCCTGCAGGGCGCACCCCCAGGCGGCGGCGCCGGCACCGGCGTGAGGCGTGCCGAGGAAGACGATGCCGTATGTCGAGACGAAGACGGAGCGGTAGTCGTCGTGGTGCGCGGCGCGCAGGTCGCCCGAGTAGAGCAACGCGCGCTTGACAAGGATGCCGCCCAGGCTGTGCGCGACCCAGACGAGCGGCCGACGCGCGCGTCCATGGCCGCGGCGGAACAGCGTCAGGCTGGTCACGAGCGTCTGCGCGTGCTGATGGATGAAGTTGTCGCTGGCGCTGCGGCTGTTGTGCCGCGAGTAGACGTCGGCGTTGTAGCCGTAGACGAGGATGTTGGCGGGCGCGCCGCGGAGGGCTTCGGGCAGGAGGTCCGTGGGCCAGAACGTGCCGTCGGGCGAGGTCCAGGTGTGATCAGGGCGGCCGTTGAGGCCGTGTACCAGGACAATGTCCACCTCGGCGTCGGGGTGCGTGTACACGGCGGTCGTCTCGTAGCGGGCAATGTTGCGTTTCTCCATGGGCTGTTGCAGACGTGTAAGTGGCTGTGTATTTGGAGACGGACGGATGTCGCCGGGTGGCTTGAAGCAGAAGACGGAACTTACCATGGTGTGTGTTTTGACGGCGGAAGCCTTCAGGGTAGAGACATCGGAAGTGACCGACATGATTATGTTTGGTTTTTCGTATGAATATTTGATTCAAGAACAATGTAGTCAATAGTTGACGGCGTCAAAAACGAAAACTCCCGATATCACTTGCAAGAGTCGGCAGTTGATTCTATTTCCTGGATGAGCCTCGGTCTATGCAAGATGGTTGTAAACCTTAGATGGATGTCAGGTTACAAGATTCGAGACAGATTGGGGCTTCACTGCATCTTTATAACTTTGAAGCCACGGTACTCGGCCTCCCATACTCCGGTCTATTCACGGCGCTGTCTACGGCCAGCTTCGGCGCCGGAGTCTGGTGGGTATGTGTTGCCTTCATAGATGGCTCTCAACGGTGTGACGAGATCCGGTCGTCACGGAACGATCGAAGCCAAAAAGTTTGGGGAAAAAAAGATTCTAGTGCGTGCGAGAGCCAGGACCACACCCGCCAAGTGACAGGGAGAAAGGCGAATCGCCCGTCACGGGGAGGGGCTAGAGGCTTAACGACAGCCGTGCACTAGCATAGGTAGGTAGCCAACCTACGCCAAACTGATGCTAGACTACACGAGGCAGGAGAGAGAGAATACAGTTTTCAGTTTGCTATGCGAGACCCAGACGCTAAAGCTGATGACTCTCGCAGGCACTTGGCGCGTGTGCGAATACTGCAGCCGCCCAAAAGGTCAACAGGTCACTGGGCTGTTCGTCTCCATCATCTCGCGACGATAGCCGGGCTGCTCTATGCACGGTCCCGTTACCCGCATGGGAGTCCGGTGGGCTAGCGGGTCGTTGCCGTTCTGCCAACCCTGATTGACATGTCCATCTCTTTGAGTTGCATCTCCGGTCGACAGCCCGGCTGTCGGGGTTCTTTGGCACGTGCAGGCAACGGCTTGCCGAGGGCGGGGAAGAATACGCAGATCATTCGAAAGGATTTCCATGAGGCAGGAGACACCTGATAAGAAGCTTCGAAGCGAGACTACACAACATGTCGCGGCACGAGTTGCATAGTGGCAGGGCGTAACAGAAGCACTTGGCTGCGTCGTAGCTTGAATCGCCCGAAAAGTAAGAATATTTGACAAGTGATGATATTATATCGATGATTGAATACTCTCTGTTATGCTGCACCTGTTTGTAGTAATGATGGTCTTGTGCGTAGTTACTGGCCTGGTGCGTTGCAAGTTCACATCAGTTTGATCACCCAACAAAGTTGCGCGTTAGCCGTGAAGGCTGTACTCAAAAAATCTGAAAGAGACAAAGTACGTCACTCGTGACTAGGAGAAAGCTGAGTGTACCTTGATAGAAGATGCGATGAGTCCTACATAGCGTCATTGGTTGTCCACATGTGTAGCAGGCTAAACTTAAAAAAAAATCTTCGAGGTGAGACGGGAGCAAGCCCTCGAGGCCTTGTGCCTGGTACTCATGATGGAGGTTTATTCGAAAGGTGGCGCCGTAGTCGACAGCAGCTGAGCACTTACGTACGCTTCCGACTTATACCTGTTATTGTTGGTCGCTATAGGTATACCTACGGTGCTGCGACAAGCTGCGACCACGAAATGTACCATCGTCGAAATGTCCGTCCTATCTCCCCATTTCTCTTCACGTGTTGATCTCTTTCGGCAGTCTAAGCGATGCATTAGACGTCGTTGAAAGGTGTGAAGGCTGGGCTGAGTCCAGGCACAAGCGCCGAGTCCGTCGCCCCGAGACCCAGACCGACACGAACCAGACACGGCACCGAGCGCCGAGGCCATCGCCCCGAGACCCCTGACCTGTAGGACGGCTCTGCTCTGTATCGCGTGACTCCTTCATATATGCCCGTTGACTTTATGCTTCCCAAGCCGATTGGCGTGCTACTCTCGCGGCGCCAACATGACGACATATTCGCGTGTGCTCTGCCCAAATTGCACCATGTCCTTGTCTCTGAGCTCGAGGTAACGGCTGTCCTGTATCCTGACCCCGTTGAGCATGGTCCCGTTGGCGCTCTCGAGATCAATCAGGTAAGGCTTGACCTTGCCAATCTTGTCCCCAAACTCGTTGCGCCGCTCCGTGTAGCGAAACTGAATGACCGCGTGCTGCTTGCTGATGCTGGGATGCTCGGCCGGCAGATCGATGACGGCCATATCCCGGCCCACCAGCCAACAGCTCCGCGCGCTCAGGTCGACCGTGTCCACAATATCTTGGCCCTTGAACACGTAGAGCTTCCACTGGTCCCGCGGTGGAGGCTTACGCGCCTCGGATGGCTCGTGATACTTGAGTGTGACGGTTGAGCCGTCCGCCTGCGTCACCGAGTTGGAGGCAGCAGCTAGGAGCCCCGTGTGGCCAAAGTTTGCCTTTTCTTTGGGCTTTTCGGGTTCCTCCCCTCGAGTCACAGCAAACGACGCCTCCTGCGACGGGAGAGGCCCGCCTCGCCGAATAGGGCTGACTCTGCTCTTCTCCTTGGACCTGACATGGTCACCATCTCTATCACGTCGCCGACGGGATGAGTGTTTTCCATCGTCGTCTGGACGTCGGTCGCGCTTGTCTCGGTCGCGGCTCCCATCTCGATGTCGGCTTCTGTGGTGGTCGCGGCCAGGCCTGCCTGCGGACTCTGGCGTCCTCGAGCGGCGTCGCTCCCAAGACCTGTGGCGACGTCTATCGCGATCTTCATCGTAGCCCGGTGACCTCCGCCGTGACCTGTGTTCTCGTTCGTCGCGGTTTTTGCGGCCGTCGTCATGATCGCGGCGCGTTCGGCTATCGCCGTGACCGTCTTCATCACGCCCCATGGCTCGCGTCGCAATTGTGGCTTGCCCTCCGGCTCTTTGTACGGCGCTCCGAACCAGGTTCTGCTTTACATGTAGCGGAATTTCCCACGGCTACCGGTCGCTAGGCAAATTGTTGGCTATTGGAAAAGGAAATGGTGTAGCTGCTAGGTGCAGAAGAACGGGACGACTAAAAATTAGCTAGTGGAGTGCCACCGCGATCATGGGAACTTCCGCGCTCACTTGAAGCGCTGTTATTCCGCACGTCCTCCAAAGTGCTCAAGCCGTGGAGCCTCAAACATATATGCGGATCGCGTTCTGCATGTACCCTTCATTGAACTGAAAACCAATTTTTGATGTAGCTGAGTAGTCGTGATGGAGCATGACAATGAACAACGCGGAAAGGATCCGCTGTAAGCTCGACGTTGGAGCTAGCGCATATCTATCAGGGAACATGACCTTTCCAAAGTGATTCACAAATGAAATGTCCTATTAATAGGCAACGACGTCGTTGAGCCTGACGATAGCCGTTTAACGCACCCTCTATTAGCTGAGAACGATGCTAGAGCTCTTTCATGGCGCGTGCTATCAGCATCTTTCAACGAATGAAATGGGGTACTTGCACGGAATGGGTTTTGTGAGTGGAAGCCCTTGACGTTTCGTGGAGCACTGGCGCCATGACTGAAGAAACTTGACTTCATGACCATGTAAGGTCGGTCCCTGTGTGGATTTAACTAGCCTTCATATAATTGAATAAGAAAATCTTTAACAACAGAAACATCCGGTATGGTGTAGTGGCTAACATCGCTCGCTCTCAAGTCAGTGCCGAGCAGCCCAGGGTTCGATTCCCTGTACCGGAGAACATTTCTTTTTGGCTTGCCTCAACTTCTTTTTCGCGTGCGCATGTGAAAGCTTTTCTTTTTTTTCCCTCCTCAGTGCATTAGGTAAAGGCTTCTTGAGCCACATAACGTCGCCAACCCGACAAGCGAGTCGAGACCCGCTCAGGTTCTTTACTCGTTGTCCGGTATGGTGTAGTGGCTAACATCGCTCGCTCTCAATCAATCATTGGTCCGAGCAGCCCAGGGTTCGATTCCCTGTACCGGAGTAACTTCCCTTTTTTACTGTTCGAGACATTTTTTGTCGTTGGCAGAATCTACGATAGATCGTGAAATGATGTGAACCGTGAGGGAAGCTATTGCTTGGTGGTGGGTTATACCATCACCTAATGAGGGTCAGCGTGGCTGTCGTGCTAGAGGTAAATTCGATAAACATTTCTTCCTGCCTTCGTTTTTGGATCCGCAGGATTTGGCTCAAAAGCCCAGCTGAATGGTGACTTCGCGCATCATATTGCTGCATGACTTGGCAGCCATGCAAAGCAAATATTTAGCTAAGCAAGCAAGGCAACGAGGGTCAGCAATCAGGCTGGCAGTGTGACAGCCTAAACATTTGGTATGTATTTATATCACTACTTCAGTAGCCCCCGAAGCATCTTTTTTCTTCAAATAGCGCAATACTTTCGCGCCGGCTAAACGAAAGCAGCGGCATTCGTGACTCTATTCGCACACTTGACCGAAGCGAAATCACATCTATCTGAGATTATGGAAGCTTTTACCCCCACCTCTAGGAATGCCATTTCTTTACATCAGCGACGCCTCTCAGAATCAGAGCTCTCAGAATCAGGGCTCTCAGAATCAGGGCTGAATCAGGCCGAGTGCCCACTGTTCAAGTTTCTTCCTGCTGAAATACGCAGCCACATCTTCGCCTTGGCTCTGGTCGACTACGAAGAGCCGGCAGCAGCTCACTAATACGTAAGAAACACGTGCTGGGCTCGACCGTCGTACTCGTCCCTACGAAGAACTGATACAGCACTTCTGCGAACCTGTAAATATATCAACCGAGAGACTTGGTTCCTGCCGTTCCTCCTGAAAGAGCAGACGCACTGGTCACAGCTACGGATCGTGCGCCACCCGAGTACAGCGTCGACGACTCGCTTGTTAATCTACGTCAAGCTATCGCGAAGATCAAGAGGCAACACAACCAGCCAGATGTGGAGATCAAGTCCCTTTCCGGGTCTTCACGCAAATGTACAAAATTGAGGCACATGAAGTCACGGGGTTTCTGAGTTTAGTGCTCTATCTTTCGTTTCAGCGTCTATGCATCACCATCAGACACGCAGACTTTTGGTTCTGGGAGAACGATGCACCCCTCCGGTTTGAATCGCAATGGATACCGCGTCTTTGCGCCGTGTTGCCCTCGGCGGTGCGTGAGGTCGTTATTGAGATGGAAACGGTCAGCCGCAAGGCCGCGCAGCTAGACGAAATAGCGAAGCAAATGGCGCAGAATTGGCACTTTCGAATCAGGGACGGGGAGCGCTTGTTCGCCGACTCAACGCCGAATGGCCACGAAGTGAGTCGCTGGCGTGGCTCCTCCTCGTGGCACAATCAGAGATGGATCAGGAATGAGATCAGCGACGGAATCATCGAGTACTATGTCGGTGCCGTACGATTTCAGCCAAGGCATGCAATTGAGAAAGCCGGTGGGAAAGTCAGTGACGAGGCTCTGCAGGCTGCCGCGTCAGAAACTTTTATGGTGCCCGAAAAGCTGCATCTCCCGGATGCGGAGCCCATGCAGTGCGTTCAAGCGTATGTCCCAACGGATACAGAGGACCTTTCCGCCGTCGTCACCTCCGCCGCAGAAGAAGACGCCACAGCTAGGAACATGGCTTGACACTCTACTCACAGTAGTATTCCGGCCTCCAAATCAAGTAATCAGGAAATAATCTTGTAGTCAATGCGTCGAAGTAACTATACCAAAGGTTGATATCAATGTATGTTTAGCTTCGCTGTGTTAGAAGTCAAGAACAGGCGCTTCTAACTAGTACAAATGTTCCAGCAAAAGCGCCGCAGAGTCCAGCATCACCTGCGACGAACTCCCCCTCCCTTCCACCGCAGCTTGGCGGCCCAGTTTGCCCACTGCTGCACTTCGTCCTCGGCCAGCAGTAGCTCGACCGTGTAATAGTCTCTCGCCAGCTCCTCGTGGTTTTTGAAGTGATGTACAAAGCGGTGGCATGCACCGCACAGCCATGCCACATTCTGCAGGTCCTGCTTTGTGTGCCACCCCCGTTTGACCACTTTGTCGTGAACAAAGCGTGGGATGAGGTGATGATAAGAAAGTGGGATCCACGAGCGTTGGCAGATCTCGCATGCCTCTGCCCTTGTTTCCCTCGTCGCTGGGGGAGCAGTGGTCAAGGTAGAAAGGTAGGCAGAAAGTGCTGGCAGAATAAAGGCTTCAGCAGTCGGTGGCAGTGGCGATGATTCCGTCGGGTCAGAAGAAATTAGTCTATATGTTTTGAGCGTCTCCGATATCGACAGTGGCAAATTCAGCACGTCTAGACTGTCCACTGTCAACGGCTGGGAGAATTGGTCTTGGAGGCTCGGCGAGTCTCTCCATGAGCGGTAGTCTATCTCTCGGAGCTCTTCTGGCAGGTTCTCAAATATCTCATGGGCTAGATAATGAATAAAATCAGCTAGCTCCTCCGCCTCTTGATGCAAGCTCGTTTGTGAGGTTGCCTCCACTGTGGTTGCTTTGGACCTCCGTCGTCGCTTTGGCTCGGACTTGGCATTTCTCCTCTCCAGAATAGTGACCGAAAGGCAGTCTCTGAATACGGCGAAGTTGTCGTTTTCGGATTTTTCCATGGTAAAGGCAAGATTCCTTGGGGTTAGTGTGGCGCGTTTGCAAGGTAATCATACAGTCGGATTAGCGGATGTCAACCTGCTAACTACCTAGCCACTGCGATCTAGCCGTCATTGGCTGTCCAGCTAAACAATTAACCGAGGACAAAAGAGCAAGTGACCCCGCCAACGGCCGTCATTGACATCTTTGTTCAGGCTTCGAATTCCCGTCAGACTCGAAATCAAAATCGTATTTGCAAGGTGCGGTGGGTGCGAACGCATTTTGCATGACGGCCTGTCAGGCCCGTGTGGCTGACCGCCCTCTAGACGCTTGTGCCCGACTAATCCAAAGTACAGCGCAGCGGTGTTACAACAATCAGAATGTCAGAAACCATTATCGCTTTCGATCTTTATGGTACGCTACTCTCAACGGAGTCGATAGCTACAGAATTGGCAAAACTTTTCGGCAATGAAACGTCCAAGACCCTAGCTACGCGAGCCAGGACTTTGCAGTTGGAGTACACATGGCGCAGCAACAGCATGAGTGAGTTGCCGAGCTTCTCGATAGCAAATGTAGGTTGAAACTTATGATTCTGCATCAGACAGATACCAAAGCTTTAGCAATGTGACACGCTGGTCTTTTCGACAAGCTACTGCAGAGCTGGGCCTTGACCTTGGCCCCGCCGAGGAGGAGCGCGTCATGAATGCGTACAACGGGCTGGATACATTTCCCGATGCAGACGCCGGTTTAAGGATTCTCGCCAAAGAAGAGGCAGGGTCGGTAAGCGCATACGTATTCTCAAACGGCGACTCCAGCATGCTGGCTTCTTCCATGTCTACGTCTCCAGCGCTGGCCAACGCAAGCAGTGTCTTGCCAGCGGGCAAGGTCATAAGCGTCGAGCCGCTGCGCGTCTTCAAGCCACATCCAAGCGTCTATGATTATCTGGTTGGGGTGACCGGTAAGAAGGACTGCCCTGGTGATGTATGGCTCGTATCTTCGAATCCTTTCGATGTGTGTGGTGCGGTCGCAGCTGGTCTGAGGAGTGCGTGGGTCGACCGTGCTGGTAGAGGGTGGCTCGACGGACTAGCTAACGGAACAGGTAACAATCCAACCATGGTGGTTAGTGGAGTGGATGAAGCTGTGAAAAAGATCACACAGGCTTCTTGAGTAGGAACTCACAGCTTGAGCAGCAAGCTTAGTTTATTTCATTCCAGGGGATAGACACACAGTCAGGCGCGTAATGCGCGTCACTGGGAGGGATGTTGAAATGTGCAACGAATCTTCTGAGAGTCCTGAGCTAAAAGATAGTAGCACATAGAGCGGGCTTGAATGGGTTTCAACTTTACGCAGTCTATTCGATTTTCCCGTGGCTACATCACCACTGACTAATAAGAAAACGAGTATAAACCTAATTTTCTTCTTCAATGGACATAACAATATGAATCAGAGCTTACAGAAGCAAAATTAGCCCTCTATTTGTTCACTTTCAGGCTGATGCAGCCCCGAGCACCGCCACGTGAGGCTCACCACCACCGCCACATCTGTCACCTGGCGCGCGCTAGAAATTTACCAGCACCAACAACAGTCGACAGCACATCAACGTCAGGCCAGGACCAGGATTATGTGCGGCATACACGCTGCCATCTCCCACAATGTCTCAAGTCCGATATCTGGCACCTTGGAGGCGAACCTGCGCTGCCGAGGACCAGATCATCTGGGCAGCCTGACCATCAGCCTCCCAGATAATGATTCACATTTGTGCGTCGCCCTGACGTCCACCGTCTTAGCGCTGCGCGGTAATCATACAACAGCCCAGCCCCTGTTGGATCAGGGCTCGGGGTCGGCACTTTGTTGGAATGGAGAGGCTTGGAGAATTCATGGCCAGCCGGTCACTGGCAATGATAGCGAATTTGTCTTATCCAAGCTTGTCGCGGCAAGTAGTCACAGCAAGGAGGCTATTCTCAATACGCTGCGCGCAATCGAGGGCCCATTCGCGTTTGTATTCGTGGACAAGCGAAACAAGAGCTTGTATTACGGTCGCGATCGTCTGGGACGACGATCACTTCTCGTAAAGCTCGAGTCCCCGTTCCAGCTATCCAGCATATCGGACTCCTCGACTACAGGCTGGCTGGAGGTGGAGGCTGATGGATGCTACAGTATCTCACTGACTAGTAATAGCTTTCTATCCACTGTAGAGCCCTCGCGACACGACTGGGATAGCAATGCAGAGTTGGTACGTGAGACGATGCCTCAATGCGAAACTGTTGCTAACGACATAGATATCGGCACTTGGCATATTCAATGCAACTGTGCCGAAGGGACTTGACAGGCTGACAGAAAACGTTGAGGCCGTCGGTACATTGAAGAATCACCTGCTTCAATCGCTACAATACCGTGTTCAAGGCATACCAGTGCCGCCAGGAGTGAATGAACCGCAGGCTTCTGTCGCTGTTCTGTTCTCGGGCGGACTCGATTGTACTGTGTTGGCCCGCCTTGCACACAACTTGCTCCCAAAAGATCAACAAATCGACCTTTTGAATGTGGCCTTTGAAAACCCTCGGATAGCTGCGCAGCACAAGGACCTCGATCCGGAAAAGCTGTTCGAGCTGTGTCCAGACCGCATGACTGGCAGGCAATCGTTTGCTGAACTAATCAAAAATTGCCCCGCAAGAACATGGCGATTCGTCGCAGTAAGTAATCTGTACACACAACAATGTCGGCATACACCGCGCTACTGACTACAATGCTGAGCACCCTTGCAGGTGAATGTACCCTATTCCGTGGCCATGTTTCATCGAAATACTGTAGTGAGCTTGATTCACCCTCACAATACAGAAATGGATCTTTCGATTGCCTTTGCATTGTACTTTGCGGCCCGTGGACAGGGTCTAGCACAGACTAGCATTGACACTGAGCCTACACCGTATTCCGCAACGGCCCGAGTGCTCCTTTCAGGGCTCGGCGCTGACGAATTGTTTGGTGGCTACTCGCGTCATGGAATCGCTTTTGAAAGGAAGGGCTACGAAGGATTGATTGAGGAGCTTAGACTCGATGTCGGACGCCTTGGAAAGAGAAACCTGGGCCGCGATGACAGAGCCATGTCGCACTGGAGTCGGGAGGTTCGCTTCCCGTTTCTCGATGAACGCCTAGTGAAATGGGCCATTGAGCTGCCAGTCTGGCAAAAGTGTGATTTTGGAAACGATCCGAATGGTGAGAAAGGCGTCGAAGCAGCAAAGCGTATTTTGCGTCTACTCGCCAGAGACCTCGGCCTGAACGCTGTAGCATTGGAGAAGAAGAGAGCAGTGAGTCGAGCAACATTGCGCAGTGCTGCCAACTCCAAGTCTGAAGCTAATATGCGGTTTCCAGATACAATTTGGTGCCAGGACGGCCAAGATGGAGAGCGGTAGAACCAAGGGAACAACGCTCATCAGTGCGTGAGGAATACAAACAGAAAAAGTTGGCGAGCGAGTGCTCCTCCGCACAGCAGAGACGGATACTCCTTGGCAGTGATGATGAAGACAGATACTTCTGAACCTGATGCAGATGCAAATCAGAGCACGGTCAATTGTGTGTTTGCTCTTGGGCTAACCCCTTTGGCTTTGTGCTCGTCGCATTAGATGGCACATGGTCATGACGACGTAAAGGCAAGTCTGAGCCAAAACCGTTGGGGTCAAGTTTTTGAAAGCAGATCATGATTTCACCCAGCAAGGCTGAGAATAGACTGAATCATGGGAACGCCTCAACGTAATTATACCGGCGGTCTGAGATGCCCTTGTGATAAGACATGCAACCTAGAGAGTGAGATAGGTAAGTCTTGCATACCAGGCTAGTAGCGACAAGGGAGGCGAAGTACCTACAAGACTAAGATGTATTCTCCTCAGTCAGGAGTTGATTTTGCTGTCAGTAGCGCAAAGCTCAGATTGTGTCTTAGACTTTGCAGTTGATGTTTTGGAAAAGACCGCCGGCGGCGACGGTAGAGGTCGTGGCAGAAATCGAGGCGGCAGCCAGGCTGCCGCCGCCGCCACGGCCTATGTCAAGCTTATTCGGGATGTTGGGCGTCAATACGAAGTGTCGTGCGAAATAAAATGCATTGGCATACTAAAATCCAATTCTATCTATACATGACTCATCTCAGCAGTTCCTGACCGGCAGCGACAAGGCCACAGGGTTACCGCTAGTACGCAGCGACACACTTAATAGGCAGCCGCCGTCAATGGTTACGCGACTTGTGTTGCGCAACCTTTATGGAAGCCATGTTGAGACGCTGTCCTGGTGGGAACAGCAGACGACTGTCGAGGAAAAGCGGTTACTGCGCCTAGTCCCGCACAGTGTTGGTCAATGGAAACGAGCGGTGGCGGCAGTGCGAAGTAGATGGGGCTGTCGGCATCGTCGCTGGCGTACTGTGGAATGACATAAATATACTCGTTGGTGTCTCGGTTATACAACTTCTCTTTAAGAATTTCGATACCAATATTCATGAGGATCATTTTATGCGGGCCTCGAGGATGCGCAATGTCGTAGACGCAGATAAAAATAAGTGAGCAGATAAAAATAAGTGACAAGATAAAAATAAGTGACAAGAGAAAAAAAGACTCGGTATTCTGGCTACCCTTACTTTCAAGCTTGTAGCACATCATAATCAATCGTGGAACGATTTGGCCTTGTATTGCCAGGCAGCCGCAAACGTAGCGCAGCGCAAGTCTCATCTAGACGCGTAACCAAAACCCGACACCTGTGGTTGATAGTAGCTATAGCTAGGCCTCAGCGCACGACTCGTGGACGAGGCAGACACCCCTCGAAAACCGCGCAAAAAAGGACCAATCATAATTCCGACCTTGTGGGTTACGCGGTACTTTGTAGTGTGCATGCGCTCGAGCTCGGTCTCGATGGTTCGATGACTCGGGCAACTCCAGTTTTCAACATTCGTTATTCATGTATACCAGACAATCAATGGTACATGTTGCCACCCAAGCAGATGATCGACGACTGTTTGTTTTTCCCGCAAAAAAATAGAAAATAAATGATACATAAAAAATAAAAATAAAAAATAATACGCAAAGTAATCCGTACGGTTGCAAAAGAAACAGAAAAGAGTCAGGGTGACTGGAGCCGAGTGTCGATCACCGTGTTCGAGGCGACTGGGCGAGCTGCCTGCAATCCCACACTCCGTATTCATGTTTTAGCCCAGCGAATTGTATATTCGCGCCCCGGCCCCTCCACCCGCTGGTCCATGTATGTATCAGGGACTACAGTCTCTACTCTCTGCGCAAGGGAGGGTCTTGCTGAACAGATAGGTCGCTTGGCATTAACACTTCAAACAGAAAAAAAAATGGGGAGATGGCCACATACATACTTCCAGCCACTTGAACCGCTTTGCAGACACCGCTTGTTGGTGCTTTGCGCGCGGTTTCATCCTAGCCCCCTTCTTCTCTCCATGTTGTGCTGGGGCCGATAACGTGTGGAGTGATGCGATATTCAGCGTCAATCAATACATGCAGATCCTATCTCCTTTAATAAACCAAAATTCCGGCACATAGATTACAAACACACTGAATACAAGACACGTGTTTGGGCGTTTCTATTTCTCGAGTACGGAGTACGGCTGGATGAATTGTCCGGCGACAGCCGACAGCATGCATCCTTGTGCATGTGCAGCCACAGTACTGATTTGCGACTGCTGCAGATGACGAACATGCAAGAGACATTTTCCCGATGTGGGCCTCTGCGACGTTGTCCTTTTTGAAATGTTTGTGCAGGTGTGCGTACATTTCTTCACCTCCCTCTCGATAGCTATTGCATCACATCCGAGCTGCTTTCCTAGGCTGCACCTCAGTGCAGGGATGCATGCAGCCTACAAGTGGTTCCTCGCTCCACTCACGGCCGTCAACACGCCGGCCGGTGTCAGGGCACTTGGCAGTGAGAATGGTAAACGGGCTTGGGGTTGTCGAGAGGCGGAGCGGCAACGGAACAAAGGACTCTCTGACTCTCTTGGTGATCTTCCGTCATGGTGTGACGTCGCATCTGCCGGCATGAAAGGTGTGCCGCCTCGACGCGGAATGAATGGGCAGAGAGACGGCTTGATATCTCTGAAGATGCAAGTCGAAGCCCAGTGAGGCACGGCTGCAGCGAGAACCTGGGGGCTCGGACTCATTTCGAGTTGTGCTGGGCTCTGTGAGGCTGGCAATCTTGCCTCGATATCCAAACATGGTTACATGGGTGTAGGCTGCTCGAACAGTTGGTGGCGTGAATTACTCGCCGTCTTCGCTTGGCAACCGAGGCTTTGGCGTCTGTATCAGTTTCGACGAGCTCGTTAAATCGCCCCATTTTCGGAGCAAGAAGCAAGTCGCGCGAGTGAAAAGAAACATGCGAGTGTGTTGCATCTCAATGCCCAGCAAGGTGTCATCTCCACGAAACTAAGGCCCATCATATTACCGGTATACTTACGGGGGACCCAGTTACTAAGTACAAGGAACCACCTGGTGGACGAACTGCCAGTGCCTTGTGGCGTGGGAAGCTCGCTGGTGCTGGTCACGATAATCTCACATTATGTCACCGGTAACGAGCCGTTGACCTTGTCCGCTCGTAACTCAGGAAACGTGAGCCATCCAGAGGTCGTCGTGTATTTCTGGGTCAAGGAGAATGGGGTTTTTGCCGATACCGTTGCAGCCATCTGTCTCCAGGATCGTGCAGGCCCAATTTTATCGCCAAAAGTCACGATAGTAGCTGGCCAGTTCAGACGACGACATTGAATCTATCGCTGCTCGAAACGTCGCTGCCACAGCAAGTGGACGAGTTACCAAATCCCCGAGAGAGGAGTGTGTAAAATCTCGACGTCAACATGACTTCTCTTTCTGATCTCTCTGATCTTTCTGAAGGCAATCGGGGTCATTCTGGCTCTAGGCTTTTTCAAGCATGAACATAGAAAGAGTAAAGTGTAATCCGTAAACATCTACAGTACTTGGGGCCTAGCAAGTGCTGCGCAGTGCACATTGCTCCATCCAGTTTACATACTCTTGAGGTCTTCCTTCAGCCGACCGTCGAAACTTGAAAAGACACCTGGCCGATGTGAAATACCCGAACTGGATAACACGAGGGAAAAAGGAAAGAGGCCGAGCTAGTTGCTGTAGCTCCACAAGATGTTACACTTGCAACGCACTAGAGTCTAGATGTAGCTCAATAAATGCATCATCTCTACTGGCTCCATTCTGACGTAGCTGGTATCAGACGTGGCTCCGTTGGTGAGGCTATGTGGATGCCCTTGATAGCATCCTGGTCAGACGTATTGATAAGAGCAAACAGTTGGTAGATTAAAAGAGCGGCAGAGTCAGTGTTCTGAGTGATGGAGGGTTCAACGAGGAAAAGACGGAACCAGGAAATGGCGCCAGAATGGCAAAAGTCAGCGATCATTATCAAATGCGGATGAACGTGCACATCAATGGGATGAACATGGCATTTTGTGATGCACCCGTTGTCAGTTGCGCCAGGATGCCCTGAAGGGTACAACAGGGGCGTGATTGGCGGAGAGATGTTTGAGGCTACTTGTGTGGCTCCCGGTACTCGATTCTATTGGCATAAGTAGATGCATCAAAGCTTTTGCGAGGTGTGACGACCCTTTCTAGGTTTAGGTGAGGCGTCTGCGTGCTGGTGCTGCGGTAACAATTGGCAAGAGTCCGATTTGCCCGGGCGTAAGACGCATCACGGGCGCGTTATCGAATCGCGACGATCTTGCACGACCGTAGCCGGTGGCCATAGTTTGACTTTACATTCCCGTCCGAGTTGACATCGGTCCGTCGTGCGGGATCCGCGTACACCGTGGCAGCGGCGGTTCGCGAAGAGCAACAGTGGCGGGGATAATCGGTATTGGGCAGCGGGTGTCATGGGAGGAAGCGGAGAGGCTAGCGAAAATGCGGTGCATTCTTTGCCCCGTATGGTCTTGAGATGCAGCGTTTTCGCCGTAGCTGTGGAGGGATCTTTTGGCTTTGTAGGTGGTAGGTTAGAGGCGCATCTGCAGTGAATGAGTCGACGTCACGGCATCCATAAGTAGATGGACGGTCTCCATCTGTCGTGTCGTGAGGCTCCAGTTTAGGCCCCATTCAGGTGTCATAGCGTGGGAACCAGAGGGCAGCGGCAGCCCTGCGGGAAGGGTTTACCAGAGCCAAAAAGCAAAAGTCTCGTGGGACAGCTGCTGAGGCGGCAGCAGAGATGGTGGATCTTGGTGTCTTGGCGTTTTGACACCAACTTGTGGGAAGCGAGAGGCTGATGTGTTATTGCGCGAGGTTGCAGTGGCGCTGGTGTCGCTGATGTACAGGAGAAGGCTGCGTGCTGCGCATGCGGTGATAAATAGATGGGCTCCGTCGAGGCAGACTGGCGTTGCGCGCCGTGATTTGCTTGGTCCTGCCAGTACGGATACGCCCTAGTCAGCCACGGGCGGCGTCTTGATGGAACGGACGGGGTCCAAACAGATGGCGCACTGCCGTGTTGCGTGCGTGTCGAGCCTGCGAGGGAAATTGGCTACGTGGATACTAATGCGTCATGAGCGTGATTGATGCAGCTGCGGAACGTAGAAGCCAACGTAGGAAGATGGCTGTACGAGATGGGTGCGGACCGGAGCCTAAAAAAAAAATGGTGTCGGATTAGGCGATCAAGGTAATGGCTGGTGATGGGATGCAGCAATGGTGAGAAGAGAAGCAGAGTGTAGATAGGTAGTTCGGCGTTTGCAAGTTGTTGGCCATCATCAAGGGTTCGCCTTTGACTGAACGGGCACGCAGGCAGGCTGTTGGGCGCAGGGTTTGAACGGTGGCTGAAAACGGTAGCTAAAAATTATTCGAACAAGTCGAGTCAGCAACCAGATAAATTACAGGGGAACTTGCAGGTGGCTTGCAAGGTACGTGGCGCTGTACCAGTACCTACGGCCGTCGGTGCCTAGGTACCTAGGTACCTACCTAGGTACAGAATGGCGGGGAGGCCGCTGAAATCAGAGTTACAGTCGCAGTAAAGGATTATGCTGATCCAGCAGCAGCAGCAGCAACGGGAGACGGCACTCCTGAAACGAGTCGTCTGGTCCATGATTCGCGAGGTAGGAGGCTGCAAAAGTATCTTAGCGAGAAAGGGAGCATTGCGCGAATAACCACAGTAGCTGTGCGAATTTGCGACGTATCAAAAGTAATAGGAACCAGGCAAACAGACCTGTTGTCGTTGTAGGTACCATGGTACCTACTCAGGAGTAGCCGAACACGCAGTACCGATGTACCTCGCCTCAGGTCCACTCGGTTTAAAACTCTGAGCCGACCGTCTCCATCGGTCTCTGGCCACAGCCTCTTGCATGTGCCTGCTTGCCTGCTGCCTGCACCGCCGTCCATTATGGTGGCCCGACGCACTCGCGAGGCAGCTAATAATAAAGGCCACAGTTAAAAATTCTGCCCTCGGCACCCATGCCCGTTCAGCGCCATGAGCGCCAACCCTCCTTTCCCCCCCCCCTGACCCATATGGTGGACCAGATATGGATCTCGTTGGGATCGTGCCGGAACCCTCGCCGCCACTCACAACGCCGCGCCGCCACATGGTACCTGCTCGGCCGCTCCACCGACGACGTCATGGGGGGGAAACGCTCACCACCCTCGTCACACTGCACATCCATGTATATTTTTTCAGCCAATGTACCGTCCCTGTACATACTGCTTGAAAAACACCCCTAGAAGTGAAAAAAAAACACTGGAGCCTCGAGATCAAATGCCGCAGTTGCGTTATCGCCAAAAGGGCCTACTACACCAAAAAGTTCTGCCAGTCCCACATCTTGCTCCCTGCCCCGATTAAAAAATAAAAATAAAACGAAATTAAAACGAAAATTCTGTACGCTATTCATGCTCCAACTTGTCTGATTTCGATAGGCCAACCGTACTGCTGCTGCGGTATCAGGCTCCATAGTTGATGCTCCGTAATGACGCCCGTGTAAATGGCGGGACCGATAACATGTACTCGGTATCGATACTGAGGCTGGCATCTGTGTACATTGTTGACAAAAGATAATTCTCTGCAACCCGCCTGTTTGGGATGCCTCCGTTCCATCTATATAAGACGAATGCCCTCCTCTGCTAACCCCCCTTGATCGATTCCTCACCCTTATCAACCACTGGCTGGGCTATCAACTTTCATCTTCTTCTTCTCCATCCATCCTCTAAAGACTCAAAAAATCTTTCAAGTCTTCTTCCATCTCTTGTCTAAACTTCAATTCTACACACTACAAATCCTTCACAATGGCTCCTGTCGCTATCACCCCCGAGGTCTCCCCTGAGCGCCCTATGATCGTCAAGAAGATCGAGGGCAACCGCTCCCATTCCAGCTCCGTCTCCTCGGTCCACTCCATCCAGCTCAACGACGGCAACTCCATCCCCACCGTCGCCCTCGGCGTATACAAGGCCCCCAACGGCCAAGAAACTGAGGACGCCGTAACCGCCGCCCTTGACGCCGGCTATCGCCATATTGACTCGGCCGCCCGCTACGCCAATGAGGAAGCTTGCGGCCGTGCCATCCGCCGCTGGCTTGACAAGACCGGTACCCCTCGCGAGGAGATCTTTATCTGCTCCAAGCTCTGGGACGCCGACCACGGCTACGAGGCCACATTCAACGCCCTCTGCGCCTCGCTCGACAAGTTTGGTCTCGATTACTTGGACCTGTACTTGATCCACTCCCCTGCCGACGACGAGGGAAAGCGCCTTGAGTCATGGCGTGCTCTCGAGACCGCCCAGCGTCTCGGCAAGGTCAAGTCGATCGGCGTTTCCAACTTTGGTGCCGCCCACATCGAGAACCTCATCGAGAACGCCACCGTCGTCCCGGCCGTCAACCAGGTCGAGGTTCACCCCTTCTGCCAGCGTCAGGCCCTGGTCGATCTGTGCGACAAGCACGGCATCAAGATTGAGGCCTACTCTCCCCTCGCCCGCGGCAACAAGCTCGAGGATCCCACCATCGGCAAGATTGCTGAGAAGTATGGCAAGACTCCTGCTCAGATCCTCCTCAACTGGAACGCTGCCCGCGGCAACGTTGTCCTGCCCAAGTCTCTGACTGCCCACCGCATCAAGAGCAACTTTGAGTCGTTTGACTTCAAGCTCGCCCCCGAGGACGTTGCCACCATTGACGCTCTCGAAGCCAACTACGTTACTGGCTCCATGCATAAGTCTGAGGACTAAATTTACAAGTTAACTCACATCTTTTCTTTCTTTTGTCTTTCAGAGGATAATCCTTGGACGGGCTCCTCGGATATGATACCACCTCTTATTTCTACGACCATGGGACATGCTCCTGCCTTCTGTGAACATCACAACAGCCGCGGGAGTAGTGTAGTGGGTATTACGAGCATATTGTGCGGGCTCAATCAGACTAGATATTGCATAGATTGGGTAGCTGGCGTTTTCTTTTACCATACAGTTCGCAGTTCAGGACTTTCATCACAAGAAATAAATTGAATTTTTTGAATCATCATATACATCTCATGAAATCTCGTTGCTCATACAAAGTATGCAGACCCAAGTTTCACAGCCGTGGCATAGATAAAGATTTATTTTACGAATCAACAAACAAGATTCACGTCACGGCAACTACTATGTTGTGATGTTACACATAAGAGATACATGGGCAGGCAAAAGTGCAGGAGTAGCAAGTATGCCTAATAAAAGTTTGAAGCAAGTCTTTCCCCAAGTGTTGTTGAAATGATCAAGGAGCCATTGCAACTCTGAGCATCATACATGCGTAGTGGCTGTGGGGTGGTTTCGGGCGTTTAAAAATAAAGATCGTGAGATCTGAACTTGCGGTTGCAGGTCCCACCGCACCTTAATCAGATGAAATAATTGTGGCGCTTTTGCCACGCACCACGCAGCAACTCCGTTTAGAATGGTCCAGACCTTTGATAGACCGCCGTGGTGTGAGGGGTCGATCGTGTTGCAGCTGCAAAGATGGAAAGGAGGGTCAGAAGATCGAATGCAGGGTACGGGAACATGGGAAAGAGAAGAGCGGGAATTTTTATATGTGGCGCCGTATTATATCGGCTTATTGCTCCGTTTGCTGTCCTGTTGTGTGTGTGCCTGACGCGCCCACCAACACCACCACAAAAATTATTTCCACCCACCCAACCCCAGATTATGTACTCGCACCTGTCCAAGTCTGCTCACCAACACCAGAATGTGGCGCGTGAGAAGCTGCTTTGTTGGTCAGATGCACTCGCTAGTTCCCGGCGCTGCACCCCAAGATCCCAGCTGACCAGACTTGCTAGACTCAGCCTTGCGCGCTGATCAGCCGCTGCTCGTTAGCAGACGAGATCGACCGAATCATTTACGGTTACCCATTGATGGATGCGCGACTGGTGACAGCGCGACACTTGGGTAGTGATCGCTGACCACTACGGAGCGGCCGTGCGCTCCTTGGTTCGTCATGTTCCAGGCAGTCGAGGCTACGCTGCGGCCCGAAGCTTCCCTCATTGTCGCAAGCGTGATCGGGCGCGACGCCAAGGCACGGCTTGGAATCTGCCTTTCCCCCCTCTCACCTCCGTCATTATTGAGATGGCTCTTCTCCCTGCACCACCCCCTTTACTTCTGTCGTGATTTCATATTGCGACTAATCGACACGACTGCACGCCATGAACGCCGCGACCGACTTTTACCGGTCGCAGGTCGGCGGTACGGGCGTAATCAACTATAGCTACACGGATTTTCCCTGGCGTCTGTTCCTCAAAGATGTTTACTACTTTTTTGTGTACTGCTGGGCGCTGCCGTGGGTGGTCCTGCCGCTCACGCCGGCCGACTCGGGGGAGTTGGATGAGCTCTACCCCAGTTGGGCAAATTTGCAGTGTCTTGCTGTTCACACGATACTCATTCTCCTCCAGCTCTTCTTCTTCTTTGGCCTACTAGTCGCTGTGCTGTTTCCCGTGTGGCTCGGCGCCGTGTTTGTCGGCGGCTGCCTGTTCCTCAACTGGCTGCTTTGTCTTCTCTTGAACGGAAAAAGTATGACCTTTCACTCAGACGAAAAATATGCAAAGGCGCTGCCACAGCATGAACATGAGCAGTGGATCTTCTTGAATGGTGTTGCTGCAGGGTGTGTATATGCTCGGCTTCCGCAAAACTGGCCATTTGCTGACAGGTCATGCCATCTAGGGAACATTGGATGAAGAATAACCTGAACCGACTTGCCATCACCTTTGGCCGACCGATCCTCGGCGTTCATAACCGCACGTCGGGAATCATTTTCGATGTCCTAGAGTGCCTGGTCCAGCGCAATTTTTCCTACGCCACTAACGATGTTCGCGTGTGCTACAAAGTTGTGCGGGATGTGCTCTATAACCCGTCGAAAACCAAGGTCATCTTTATCTTGCATTCTCAGGGTGGAATTGAGGGAGGGTTAGTGCTAGACTGGCTTCTCCAAGAAATGCCCCAAAATCTCTTGTCCAAGTTGGAAGTTTACACCTTTGGCAACGCTGCGAACCACTTCAACAACCCCCATCGCCATGTCGAATCTCAATCTTTGACGATTGAGAAGCCACGGGAGGCCCTTGCGACGTTGGTAACGGAAACGAGCTTCTCAAACATGCACGTCGACACCTTGATAGATACAGGCGAGGGCAAGCCCCCGTCTCTGGTGACCCAGTCCTCCAGCATGTCAGCATCATCCCGGAGCTGGAACGCGGCGCAGGACCGTGCCATCGGATACATTGAGCATTTTGCGCACACGACGGATTTTGTTGCCATGTGGGGGGTTTTGCATTTTGCAACAAACAAAATGGGTTCGCCACAGCTGCCCAGATTCATGGGACGTCTTTTCAGCCGATCCACTAGACGTGGTGGCCACCAGTTCAACCAGCATTATCTCGATGGCATGTTTCCGCTGGAGAGGGACCCCCATACAGGAGAGCTTATCGGCGCGGCTGAAAAGAATGAATTCATGGAAGAGACGATCAAAATCGGCAAGGAAGGCGCCGGCATGGAGAACACACGAGAGGCTTTTGACATTACATACATGGGCACAATGGGATTCGGAACCGGTGATATTAGCACACCAGTGGAAGTTCATGGCGCTCTTAACAAGAACAAGCTGGTGCAAGAATACAAGGTCAAGGACGTTTGCCGACTTTGGAGCTACAGAAACGGGCGCTGTCCGCAAGATACGACGTCTGTCATGGGCGCTGAGGCCATCATGGCACGCACCGCCACGATTTAACGGGCGTGTTGTTGCTTTGACAACATGCCAGCGGTTGATGAATGAGCGATTCATTACAACAAGTACAGAATCCTCGCACATACGTAGCATAATATTATCGAGATTGCATATCACTAGAAGCCAATAGATTAAACTCAAAAGGTTCCACCTGCTCGCGGCAGGCATTAACATGAATTGTCGGATCTTGCTAAGAAATGTATTTTCAGTAGACAGGGGTTAATCTTTGGCAGGGAAAGGGGTAACTGACGCGTAACTGACGGGCATACGGATACCTACCTAGGTACAAAACAAACGCACCACGGCCGACCAACAGACATTTGGGGCTGATCATCTTCAGGAGATACGTCTGAATGGGCCTCTTAAATCTCCGAAGAATGGAGAATGACGGCATTCAATTTGATGCCATGCAACTTGTAGCTCAGCACTCTCGTGCGGGCGTCAAACAGACGTGGCACGGACGCTGAAAGCTCGATGAAGTGGGCTCGAGGTCATGGCGAGTCCTGCTTGCAAATATATTGAGATGAACGCCGTACGGGAAAAGGGAAGAAATTGGGAAAAGTTTGGCACTTGGCACGGGCGGGCTGGACTCTGGCCTGTAGCGGTCACCGGATACAACAGGCCTGATCCTTGATGAAAATTATAATGAACGCTGCTCTATGATAAAAGGACTCGTGCGGCACATGACAATAAAGATCAAAATTGTTGAATCATTACGCAAAAAAAAAAAGGGACGTGCTGGCCAAGTAGCGGTGAAATTGGCGATGATCGGACTCGGGTATCAGATTGCGACCAGATTGGCAGTGGACGCTGCCGTGGTGGGATCGCCTATCTATGGTTAACGTGCATGATGGCTACTAAATACCCTTTGCTGAGCAGGGAACACTAAAAAAAAAAGAATGGCCCGAGGGATGTAGTTGTGGACAATCAACATCAGACGGTGGCGTCGCCGATATAAACTCAAGGCGTGCGGCATGCAAGGGGCTCAGGAAGCGCCGTGCGCGGGGCGAAGTAATCTTAAAGGTTACCGCATATCACAGACGCGGTCGTCTCTGAAATGCAGAACGCCAGTTGTCCAAGCAGTTCATGATGAATAATGGCCGTGCTTCTGTCCTACACGGTACTCCGGTAGAATCGACAAGGGAGCGAGAGAGCGGGATTGGTTGTTCGATATACATTTGGGACCTGTAGAGTACCAGCAATACAGCATTGGCTATTTTTGTGTCAAGGTGTATCTTGTATCATGATTCGTGACGAGGTGAGCCCGGACCCGGGTGATGGGAGCAAGGAACCCCCGGCTCGGGCCAAAGTAGTTTAATTACGGCGATGGAGCGGTAAGTGACAATCCGATAATGCAACGACGGGGGCAGGCATTTTTGTTTTATTTTGATTTTCTAAAAGCCATAACGTGTTCATGAAGCGAAGCCGTGTCGCAGCCAAGCCAGAATGATTTAATGGTAATCATATGCTAAATACGGATACAGAGGAGCATCTGTGCGGCGGCACGGCAGTGCATCGCATAAACTCGCAAGCACCTCACAGACGGCACGACAGCGCAGCATGCGTTTTAGCTGGAGCGCGCGATGAAACCTGATCGCCACGCGTCCATCTCTCCTTCTCTCTCCTTTTGTGGTGCCCAACCAGCCCAAGTTGACTCGCATCCATGTATGACCAGTAGTTCCCAGCTCGTACGCAGGTCCTTTGGCGCTTGACTAGCTCTACTCAATAATAGAATCAGCGTTTCCGTCAGCCCATGAGCCGGCGTGTTACAGGTCTGAGGCACGTCTGCAGGTACCAGAAATGATGTGGCACGGGTTGTTCTTAGTTCAAGTCCCCCACAGAGCTTGTTATCATTATGAGAAAAAAAAAAGGTACAGAGGAATTTTAGACTAACTTTAAAAGAAGACTACCAAGAGGAAGAGATGATTTGTGTTTCGCAATGTGGTGGTGGGCTTGCCCTGCGCGCCTTGAGCTGTCCTGTGCGCCCCATTCCTCATAACTCATTTGTTTTAGCTGCGAGGCGAAGAAGGGAGGTGAGGTAAAAAAAAGTACCATGATGATTATTTACTTTTTTCCTCCTCTTTCATCACACACGCGCGCGCGAAAGACTTGCAACTCTTTTCTTTTCTTCCCGTCCATCTGTACTCTTGTCCCACACTCGAGCGACGTACAGGGACAGAACAACCGTTTTTTTTTTTTTTGGCGCGGCAAGAGCGGACTTGGACGGAGAGAAAGGGCTCATTTTTTTGTGCCATTATTTTTGTCTCTGCTTTTCCTACGGATTAGGTACCTACCTACCTAATAATCGTCTTGTCTACACGCGACGCCACTGGAACAACGCGCGCCGCGACTCTGAACGGAACCCGCCGACAATTAAACTGAGAGCAAAAGACGATTGAAACCACGGAATTATTTCAAACATATTTTTCATCCTCATCTTGTCCAAAACGACAATTGGAGATTGGTACAACTGCTTTAGGACTGGAGCCCGCGCAATGGTTCCTCACTAGAGTCACCAGGGACTCGCACATGCTCTCTCCACCCTCCTCCACATTGTCCCCTTTGACCCCTACCGCAAGACCCTAGCCATCTGCAGCCAGCAAGGAGAAAGCAAAGGAAAAAAAGAAACTAATATCGGTGGTACTGCAGCGACAGGCTAGCAGAAAGGGGAAAAAAGGGAAAAAAAAGAAAAGGTGAGGTGAGCCATGGCATCAGACCACCAACAGCGTCACGGTGACAGCCGTGGTTCGTCGGCCGGGATGCCTCAGACGCCGCAACAGCGCGATTCTCACAACTTGTCTCTATCGCCGCGCGATGTTACCCGCGACTCTCTTGTCGCCAACATGCTAATGTCGTTGGACCAATTCTCTCTCGAACAGCAAAATCAGCACCAGCTTAACCACCGCAGCCAATGGGACCCCTCGTCCAGCAATCACAGCCCCGGACCCCAGCACCGCTACCACCAGTTTGATGGGGCGCCGCCCTGGCTGCCCTCGACGGCACATACCAACGCCTCTGCTGCTGCAGCCTCCCGCGTCCACGAGAGCAATTTTCACCATTATCGCGGCCACGCTCATTCGTACAGCTCCGACATTGACACGGTCGATACCGTCTCCAAGCTGTCCAGCTCGCCCGGCTCGCCCGGCTCGCACGAATATTACACCAGCGCTGCTACTAATGCCCCTGCTGTCGCTGCCACCACCAACGACCGCACTTCCAACTCGGCTTCGTCCTCGCCATCTCAGCGTGAAGAGCTCGGCATTGCCAACAAAAATCTTCATGCTGCCCTCTCGAGTACATCCGACCGTCAGCAACACGGCGAGCACCGCCCACCCACCACACCGCCGAGTCGTGGCGCCCGCCTAAGCAACGCCGTCTGCCGCGACCGTCCATCGCGCGCCCACCGCCCCCCTAAGCATCAGCAGGACAGCTATCACCACTTCCTCACCCAGACAGCCTCATCTTCGGCTCTGACGTCGTCCCGTCGCGACTCAAATCGTCTCAGACGCAGCAAGAGCGTCGGCGGCTCCAGTACCCGCAAGCCTGCTGCCGGTGCAGCAGCTGCGGCAGCAGCAGCTGGTGCCAGGACGACAACCTCTGGCTCTCCAGCCAAATTGTACCCGCCCATGCCCTCATCCTTGGCCATTGACTACGACCTCGACTACCTCAATCACGATTACGCCGCAGCGCCCACACCCACGGTCCCGTCCGGCCCCCGTCGCATCCCCGCTGCTTCTCTTCGTGGCTCCGCCTCCGACCTCGCGCTGCCGCTGCGGTCGCCCGTCACGCCTACTGCCCTTGAGCGCAGACGCAGCTCCTCTCGTTCTCTCTCTCTCAGGAGCGCTTCCGGCAAGAATAGGCACGCCATCAACCAGCAGCCACCACCCCCTATGCCTAACGCCGGGGAATTTGAGTCGGCCCCGGCGCCCAGCGTCGGCTATCGTAAGGCAAAGGAAGACCAACATCGGGCCAAGTCTTCGCATGCAGCATGCTCGCGCCACCAGCACTCAGATCTGTCTCAGCAGCCACCAAGAGAGAAACCTGGCTTCTTTCGCCGGGTTTTTGGCGGTGGAGGCTCCAGAAATATGCTGGCATCATCAACCGAGCCTCTTCAACAGCCCAACTCGCCACACACTCCATCCTCGGACTCGCGAAACGAACGACCTCCGATCGGTAAACAGACGAAAGACCAATCGAAATCGGCCTCGACACCGCCGTCCCGAGATACCTCTTCATCACACTCGCAGCAGCTCCCGCCTGTACCGCCTCTGCAGAAAAAGACCTCGTCATTTTTCCGCCGACGTAAGAAGTCGGTTGTGAACGAGGCACCGCCTCTGCCGTCCTACGTCCCGCCCGTGCCCAATGTGCCATTGGCAAGCTTGACCAACGAGACGAGCCTGGGAACCGACGACCCAAGCCCCGTCAGCAGCCTGCGCCAAGCATTGGACCCCTATCTTCGGAACAGCGCTGGATCAGGCAAGACTGCTACTGCCTCCAAGGCGACTGCGCTGGCCGACATTACCAATACTGTCACGGAAAGCGGCAACGATGAAGAACCTAGACAAGAATTTCAACGCGAGTTCTCGCCCGATTACGAGCCGAGCCCGAACGCCAAAATTCGCAGCGTAAACAACGACGATGAAAATATTCGCGATTCTCCATGCAGGAGTGCAGCCTCTTCAACAACCAATAAATTAAAGACGACCGCAAGTCAGACATTTCTCGATTTGGATAATAATAGCGATGACGAACACACGGGTAAATACGGGGACGGACGTTCCAAGTCGGACCTCTCCGCCTCTGCCCACTCTGAATCAACGGACGTTTCGCAAAAGGACACGAGCAACGATGATACAATCCGGGCCAGTAAAACGGCGCCCCGCGTCATGGACCAGTCGAGCCCGGGTACCAGCCGCAGCCGATCAAACTTGAGGATTCCCAACGATGGCCACCGCTCTGCGAGCGCGGGCACAATGTCGACTGAAACAGATTATAAATCTGCCACCAGCGTAACACCGAGCGTGCGCGTGGAAGACATGGACGAAAGTGACTCCTCCAAGGGAGCGAGCGCAATCAAAGCCATGCAAAGCAAGGCCTTTGACGAGCCGCTGTTTGTGGTGGGCGAGCCGACCGAGGACGACAAGCTCAAGGCCAAGAAGATTTACGACGGACTGGAGGTTTTCATCCCAAAGGACAAGGCGGCTGCGTGGATGGGCGAGGAAGGTCCGGTGCGAAAGCGCACACTGCAAGCGTACATTGAGCTATACAGCTTTACCGACCAGAGTATTCTGTCCGCCTTGCGCAGCGTGTGCGGTCGCCTGATTCTACGCGCCGAAACCCAACAAGTTGATCGAATCTTGGTTGCCTTTTCCAAGAGATGGTGCGATTGCAACCCGAATCACGGCTTCAAAGCCACCGATGTCGTTCATACAATCTGCTATTCAATCATGCTTCTCAACACAGATCTTCACGTGGCTGACATTGAGTCAAAGATGACCCGCAGCCAATTTGTCAAGAATACCCTTTCCACAATCCGACAAGCTCTTCACGAATCGAACCCCGACGCCTTCCAACGCCCTAGCATTCTACCTGACAGAAGCACTATACTGGCTGCCGAATCGCAAGCGGTCGAGCAAGACCGTTCGACCTTTCGCCATTCGTTCCGCCCTTGCCCGAGAACAGATACGCAATTTGGCGACAGCGGCGAAGATAGCGGACCTCTAGTTAGGACTGCATTCACCGGCTCGTTGCGCGCTTGGGAAGAGCAAGTTGAGCAAGTCCTGAAGAGTATTTACATCTCTATCCGTGACGAAAGACTCCCTTTGTTTGGAGCCGAGGACCGCAGCGTCGGGCCGGCTCAGTCGCAAAGCAATCTGTCCGTCATGGGCATGCTTAAACGCACACCCAGTGTTCTAAGCAAGGCGCCCTCCGAAGGCCAAATGTCGTCGCGTGGACGCATCACAGAAGGCAGCCGCACAAGCGCCTCGAGATGGGCTTCAAAGAGCCGTTCTCGCCCTGGATTGGGAAGAAATGGCATGGCATCCAGCAGGACCAGCTTCGACGACGATAACTCCTTGTGGAGCCCTGCCCTGTCATCAGCAACCTGGAGTCGCTACTCTCTTGGACGCACACAAGCATCCATGTCGCAGGATTCCTTTGCGTCGTCGATGCCTAGAGGTGGTTATCAGCAGTCGATTGGGTTTGCTAATGCGCTGAGCCAGTCTATTATCCGCGACGAGGATTTCAACGGCAGCGAAGCAACCCCGTCCATCATTAGTAGCGATTATAATTCTACGCAGCTGCTCGAAGACGAGTCGCTTGAACTAGCTGGCCCACCTTGGATCAAGGAAGGTATGCTGGTGCACAAGCACCATCTCGATGGTGTAGGCAAGCGAGCCAAGGATCGCAACTGGTCCGAGGTGTTTGCTGTCGTACAGAAAGGACAGCTCAGCTTGTTCTCCTTTAATCTTAGCAAGTCGTCCAGACACAAGGCTCGTCTCCGCACAGCGACGGCACCAGTCGGCGGTGGCAATTGGCAGGACAATGCCGTTAATGTCGGCACGTTTAATCTTCGACTCACTTTGGCCTCGGCACTACCGTCTCCCGGATACTCGCGCACGCGCCCCTACGTCTGGGCTCTCAGCCTGCCTACCGGTGCTGTTCATCTATTTCAAGTCGGCACACCTGAAATCATTCGCGAGTTTGTCAACACGGCCAACTACTGGAGCGCAAGACTTAGCACGCACCCTCTGGTCGGTGGTATCAGCAACGTCGAGTACGGCTGGAGCGAGGCTATTGTGAACAACGCCCTGGTTGCTGCGATCAACGAAAAGAGCACTCCTCCCACGACACAGACTGCCGGTGGTGCGGTTCATGGGCGCAAAGGAAGCACGCAGAGTGCCAGTATAAAGTCGATGAGCTTTGAGCACGGCGGCGGCGGTAGCAGCTTCACGCACAACAGCGGCCGCGGCAAGCTCCCTGGTGACCGCGTCCACATTGCCCCGTGGGCGCCGCCGACGCAGAGCGTACGGCCCAGCAACCTCTGCGAGAGCGAACAGCGGGAAGCCTTGGCAGCGTACGTTAAGAGCATTGAGGGCGACTTGCAAGCGCATAATCAGCTCCGCAGCCCCATGTTGCTCGCTTTTACGCCGCGCGGCCAAAATGCGGCCAAGGCCATGACCAACTGGGAGCGCAAGAGCTCGTACCTGCTGCGCGAGATTGTCAAGTTTCGCACCTATGTCGACTGTATGAACCAGGCAGAGACGCGCAAGCGAGAGGTATACAAGGAGCGTGACCTGGCGCGGCGCGCGGCCCGTGGGGACATCAGCGACCCCGAGGATGATGATGACACTGGCGCGAGCACTGTCGAAGACGACGAAGAGGCTAATGCAACTCTACGACCAGAATAGTGATGCTTGTTGCGCCATGTTCTATATGCATGTCTTTTTTTTCTTTCTCATCCATCTTGTGTTATTTCTTCACATCAATTCTTGATACCCGGTTCCCTCCCCCCTTTGTGATGGGGTCTGGCGGTGGTTTTTCTCGTTTGGTTCCATTCTTTCGTTCTAGACTTGACAAAAGTTCTAGTGTATTCTACATTGCGCATTGAATGGCGAGGCATTTTTTTTTTCCTTTGAGCGGTGGAATATAGGTAATCAGTAGGAGAAAAGGGAATAACTTTATTTTTGGGAAAATTTGAATTGAATTCGGAGGGTTTCTGTCTTAATCCTAGGAATAGCTTTTTTTGTTTCATTTTGTATGAATGGCATTCTTAATGATGATGATTTTTGACCCTTTGCTTCTTTGTGAGTGGTGATAATCTGTGAGATAATGGTACTGCTGCTTCGGCCATCATCAGTCCTTTTTGATGGCCAAATTATCCACGTATTGAGCGTAGTCCTGTCGCCGACAGTAAAGCTGTTTCAGTAGCTAAAACCGATTTCATTATTAAAGTTTGGATACAAAACCTATCTATTCTCATGTTCGCTCTCCAAATCAACTCGTAGCAAAAAAGGCGGCGCACAGCCTTTTTACCAAAAGCACAGCATGCAACCAATACCAGCCATCAATGCCAGGAAAGCAGGTGGCGCGACCATTGCGCCCAAACCCTCGTTATCGTCGGGATTGTCGCTGCCGTCGCCTTTGTCTGTGGGCTCAGCATTGTCCGTCATTGTCGCAGACGCACTGGAAGAGGCAGACGACGTACCTGACGGGGCAGGCGGCGACGCCGTGACACCCGGCTCGCGCCTCTTGCGGCACCCGGCGACGCGCACGTCGGCCCATCCCTTCTTCATCTCCCCGTCGTAGCTGTACTCGATCGGCGGCCCTTGCTCAAACTCGTCGCACCAGCCGGCGTAGTCTTCGACCTGGACCGAGTGGAAATAAGCAGCGGCAGCGGCGACAGAGGCCTGGGATGACCAGATGGGCACACCGCCGGCCCAGGCAATCTCGCCGGGGTCGTCCGAGGGCGAGGTGGCCCAGAGGCCGAGCTGGAGGCGCATCGGCGTCTGCGGCCACTTTTCGGCGGGAATCTCGCCGGGCTGCCAGGTGCGGCGCTCGGCGCCGTCAATGGAGAATTTGAGAAACTTGTCGGTCCACTCGACGGTGTAGGTGTGAAAGTCGTCGTACGAGGACGAGGAGATGGCGTAGGTGGTGTTGTAGGTGTTGAAGAGCGGCTGGCTGTTGTAGTAGTAGTTGGACTGGGCCTGGTTCTGGAACGCGCCGAGCATCTCCTGCTTCCCATGTTAGCGGGCGAGGAAACGAAGTGATAACGGAGCCTAAAGAAAAGGAAAAAAGGACAGCTAACCCAGTCAATCTCATCGCCAGAGTCAGACTTTAAAACGATTGTGGTGACGAGGCCAGCGCCCCTGGCAGCCTTGGCTTTGACTGTGACCTTGCCAAACAAGAGGTATTGGTGGCTGGTCAGAGTCGGTGCCTGGTTCGGCTCCGTCATGCGGACCTCCAAACCGTTACCGTCACCGGCAAATTTGAAGCGATTATCGCGGTCCTGCTTTGTCTGGTCGTCGACGATCCAAAACTTTTCAAAGTCTTGGTTGTAGCTGGCGCCGTCAAAGTTGAACGACGTCTTTCCCGCAAAAGCCGGATCGGGAGAGCAGCCTGAAAACAAGTGCCAACTCGTTAGCACCCGTAAAATGAACGTAAAAAGAATTGGAAATGATGAAGCGTACGTGAATCCTTGGCCAGCGGGTTGCAATTGCTAGGATCTCGGAGGCCGCCGTACGAGGGCCAAGCATGACAGGCGGCGGCAAGACACAACAGGTAGGCCAACATGTTCGCGAAAAGATATCGTCTGATTTGGGGACAAAACAAAGAGATTCCCGTAAAGACAGTGAAGCTTTGTCCGGTCTGGATGCCGTAGTTTGATCTTTCCTTTGGGCCTTCTGGAAATATATACAAAAAAGAAATGTGACTGAGCAACGACAACAAGTAGCACAAATCGTTCCATCTGAATCACTTTCAAACACAAAACGACGCACAGCGTTTGCGGTGCCAAGGCTGGTATATAGGCGTACGTGCAAGACCAAAAACATATACGAGCTTACAATATGAAACTGGGTAAGGCCGGAGTCGCTTACATTTGCACGACTGCGTGTTTGAAGAAGCAACCGGGCGTGGCGCGATTTTCGGTTGTACAAATTCACAATTGTTTGATATGTCGTGTTCATTAACTCGTTGGCAACTGTTGAGAGACCCGTGTACAAAAGAAGAGTGCGTTTTGCTCTTTTTTCCCTTTTGCGTAATCCCCATGCCACGTGGGAAAGCATTAGCAGGTGCCGAGCATGTCACTCAGCGCAACCTTTTCGGCCGTGGTAATAGTCAGCTTGTAGTAGCTCTTGACGGCGACCCAGGACTTGGCGTATGTGCAGTAAAAGCTCGTGAGAGGCGGCTTCCATGCGTCAGGACTGCGGTCGCCCTTGGAGCGGTTGGCCTTTTCGCTGACAGCATAGAGCTGAGGGCGATTGATATCGTTGGCAAAGTCTTGACGCTGCGCCTTTGTCCAGCTCGAGGCACCAGACTGCAGGGAGGGAGGAGGGGACAAATGTTAGCCATGGGACGGGGTACTCGCACGGTACGAAGCTGCGTCTCGTTTTCGATGGCGCAGAAAAAGAAATCCAAGTTTGCCGACTTACGATCCAAGCATTCTCGAGGGGCACGAGATGGTCAATGTCAACCAGGCTGCTGTTGGTCCAGGTAGTGTTGTCGTATGGGCTGACCCAAGTACCGGATGTGATTTTGCACAACGAGTCGGTCTGGACGTCTTGGCCATCACGTTTCAATACATATTCCCTGCACGACAAGAGAAAAGTAGAAAAGGACCATTAGCCTGTTGTGACGAGAAAGGAGAGAGGACATGTCATATGGTTGCATTGTCATACCGAGCGGTGCAGCTGCCCTCGACCTTGATCCAGTGGGGAAACTCGGCGCGCGAGTAGTCGGCCCCGGAGCCGGGAAGGGCAACCTGGAGGCTGTCGAGGTCACTCTCGGCGGTGCTAGTGCTAGGAATACCGGGCTGCGTTGCAAATTGCGTTAGTGGAATTAGGCTCGGTAAAGCGGGCATAGGGTTGGGAGTTGGTGAGGAGGATTCGTCTTACAGGTTCGGGGACGGGAGCCGCGAGGGCAACGGTAGCGACCGCGAAAAGGCTCGAGATGCGCATCGTGAAGAGGAAAACTGTCTGGCGCCGAAAAAGACGAGAAGAAGTGAAAGTTGGCGGACAGTCTCCAGATTACGATCTGGCAAGGGACGACGAGCCGGCAGAGGCGCTTCGCTGCTTATTATAATGCTGCCAGCATGCCGGAAGCGCTAACTAACCCCGCGGGCACGGGCTGGATTGTCTTGATGATAGCCAATCTCTCGCGGCGCGTCGCGGCCCTTTTGCACCAGTCTTACTCTGGCAAGGGGAGGGGGGGGGGGGTTAGTCAGATTCGACATTTCTGCCGATGCTAGTTGTTTCCCTGACACACAGCACACTCGAGTTCCCGAAAGCTAGACCGACCGTCTCGACACGTTTTCGCACAATTGGATCTCACACGAGCGTTTGCGCCCCCCCGCTTGCCCTAAACTCCGAAAGTCAGCAGCTGCTCGTCCATCAGCAGGCAGCGTTTTTTCTTTTTTTCTTTCTTTTTTCGGAAGTGGTAGGAGACACTACCAATGAGTTTCGAGTTGATTGAAATGCATGCCCACCGGCAACAACATTCCGGGGGGCTGCTTCCTCGGGTACAAAGTTTGAGAGACATGGGCAAACAAGCCGACGTTTATTAGCGGGTTACTCGGCAAAAATGATTTGCCAGTCGTCAATCGCCAGTGTTCTCCTCCCACTGGCCTTCCTAAATGGGAACGTCAAATGTCCATCTGCTGCAGCTTTACTGCAACTCCACTCCGTCGTCGCTCGTACCACCCCCCGGAAAGCAGGATTGGAGAGCCAGCTCCGATAACGAGTGCATGTGCCATGTAGTTAGGCCGTGCTAATGTTATATCATGATGGTCCCCAACTTAGCTAATAATAAGCCTGTGAGGACCGCGCGCCGAGTATTTGTCAGCCAAACATTGAAAACTGATATTTTCTAGGCAAGAGCATTGCTGATGATGTGTTTGTCTGCTACCAACAAAGGCGTTCTGCGAGAAAACTTTTGCTGCGATTTCGGCTCCCTTGAGGATGCTGTGTATCAATGCTGCGCGCCTGTGGCAGCAGACCTGACCATTTTCGCATCTTTGCTGTCCGTCACCTCGAGGCAGCAGCGGTCGAAAGACGACAATGACGAGAGGGAAAAGTGGGTATTGGGAAGCTGCTCTGCAGTCTGCAGGGTGAGAAACATCAGGTTGAGGGCGACAACAGTCCCACTCGTGAAACTGAACCCACGGAACGAACATGGAAGGAGTCAAATACCGCTCGTATAGACTGTATGCAGGCACAGGCAGCCGTATAGCCGAATACAAGGAAGTAGATAGTCAAAGGATATTTCCTTCGTTGGCTTGCTAGGATAGATGGATGAGGAGAAGAAACGCCAGGCTCTTCGAACGTATGAGAATACCAGAGTCAAGTCGGAAAGCGTAACATGATAAATGAGTAGTTGTGACAAGTTGCGCTGCTTCGAATTTGAGGCGCCAGAATCTGTGGCCTTGGACCTTTTGGCCTTATTTTTTGTTTTTGCGCGCTGTAGAAAACCGCAAAAATAGGCAGGGACACGGCCAGGTAACCTGGGGTCCATAAACCAAAACCAACATCACATCCAGAACCAATTGTCCGTACGACGCTGTCAATCATGGGATGGTGCTGGCAGAGTACTGCTGGGCAGTTCGCCCACAAGTCTTGCGTGAAATCGAGGTCCTAGACTGGGTAGTGCTGGCCCCCATTGTACCCATCAGAGACCAGGCAAGTGCCAAATCTATCGCCGAATCGTCAGCTTGATGGAGCAGCTAGCACTCAAGTCTTGTTTAAAAATGTGCTGTCCAGCCTTTCGTCCTTTGCCCCCCCCCGCCCTTCTCCGTCGGCGGCGTTGCCGTCTCCCCCAATCAACAGCGCGGCCACGGGGCGCGCTAGAAAGTCTTTGCGTGGCTCGATACTCATTCTCGTGCGGTGGATGCCAGCCGCGTCCGTGGCTGCGGGACTATACGCGGGTCGTCTAGTTCGTCGAGAAGCGCCGTCGGAATATCCGCATCAAAGAGAATTGTATCCCGAAGGGATTTCGGGTTGGTAATTAAGAGGCATACCTAGCTGCTATTAGAAGAATATTTAGTAAGCACTGTAGTAGAGGTACATACTTGGTACGTAGTGTTGTGGCGTGTGTACTTGTGGTGATATTGGCGTTGCGCGATGGAAAGTAGTATTAATAGCACGTATGGATCCTCTGACTAGTCCTTCGGCGTGATCCATTTTAGTCTTTTGAAGAAGTCATTATCGCGTTGTCCCGGACGTTGTCCCGGACGTTGTTTGCGCCGGTTTCCTTCACGTCGTGCTGAGTCGATCAGGCCATAGTCCATATACCCAGCCCATGGCCACGTCGGATGCTGTTCCACCGGCTGAAACAAAACGTACGGCGCACCGGGAATTTTCCGCTTCCCTATACGTAATGGCGGCCGTTCTCTGCGTCCCGTGGTCCCTTTTAGCTGTGATGCCCAACGTGTTTCTGCGCGTGTCGGGCTTAGCTTACCTGTACCATTCGTAGAGATTGTCGTCGCAGAGTATATTTATCATGCAGACCTCTTTTGTGAACGGGGAGACGCGACATTTCTGCAGGGTGAGCGCCTGCCTTTCCCGTAGAGCATCAGAGCCCGTGGCGGCCGAGCTGTCCTCAACAGGGGTTGGATGTATGACCTTGAAGCTGGCTCGTGTGGGTATAGCCAAAGTAGCAGCCGAAGAGGCGCAGGTCTTCGAGTGACCAAAAGACTGGGCGTAAAATAGTTTCACGGCGTGGCCAGAAACGCAATGTTGAGCGGCTTCAAATGCACATCCATGGCAATGCCGACGGCTTCGTGCATAGGTGGGAAAATGGGAGCGTCGAGGAGAAAAGAAAGTAGGTAGCAGACAGCAGTACTATTTTGTCGACATAAGTGGAGCTGGTTGAGCACACGACCAGTTAGAAAACTGCATTAGCAGCATTACTATAAATCTAATAGAGGCACTGTAATTACAATCGAATGTAGAAAAGACTGTTCAAATGCATGCATCATAATATTTCAAGTGTTGCGCCTAAGAAGGTGTTGATGTTTGTAGATACCGGTGGGGTTGTGGATGTCAAAAGTTGATTCTTGCTAGCTTGTCCTGGCGTAATCCGCTTCCAATAAAAGAAGAAAATTATTCATTAGAATAAAAAAAAAAGATACTATTTACTTTGAATGAAAACTAGTCAATACAGTCTCTTTTTATATTAGGTTACTCATAATTCGACTTCCTATTCAATACATCTAGCGGGCATATTCTATACATCGAAAGATAGGGTAGGGGTTAGATGTTCCAACACTCTGATGCCTGACATTATGCGGCCGATTGGTTTGTCGTCTAAAGCATGCTTGGCAGCTGTGAGCCTTATGAACTTGCTGGTTGAACTGGGTCACCAAGGCTTCCAAGTCTCGTTTGACTGAGTGAACTATTGACTTGATCTGATAAAACAACTTGATCTGATAACAATAAAGCAAGGCTTGTAAATGGACAGGGGGTTTGCCGACATGGCCAATGAAGCAGCTTGCCAAGTGGAATTCACGTGCAAATACCCACAAATCAGGCACAACGCCCTGCAGCCACA